AAGAATTAAATATCCTGTCTTAAAATTCCATAAACGGATAGAGTTATCATAACTACCAGATGCTAATGTAGTACCATCAGGAGAGAAATTGACTGAATAAACTGTATTAGAATGACCATCTAATTTGGCTTTTTATTATCCTGTCTTAACATCCCATAAACGGATAGAGTTATCTCCACTACCAGATGCTAATGTAGTACCATCAGGAGAGAAATTGACTGATAGAATTCCATATTCATGACCATCTAATTTGGCTTTTTATTATCCAGTCTTAACATCCCATAAACGGATAGAGTTATCTTCACTACCAGATGCTAATGTAGTACCATCAGGAGAGAAATTGACTGAATTAATAAAACTAGAATGACCATCTAATTTGGCTTTTTATTATCCTGTCTTAACATCCCATAAACGGATAGAGTTATCTCCACTACCAGATGCTAATGTAGTACCATCAGGAGAGAAATGGACTGATAGAATTCCATATTCATGACCATCTAATTTGGCTTTTTATTATCTTTTCTTAACATCCCATAAACTTATACACTTATCATCACTACCATATTCTAATTTATTACCATCATTATATAAATTAACTTATATAATTCCATAATAATTACCATCTATTATTTTCTTTTATTTCCCTTTCTTCACATCCCCTAAACTTATTTACTTATCTTTACTACCATACTCTAATTTTTTACCATCATCATATAAATTTATTTAATAAATATAACTTTAATAACAATCAAATCTCCCTTTTTATTATCCTTTCTAAAATTCCCATAAATCCATATACATATCCTCACTACCATATTCTAATATATTACCATCATCTGAGAAATTGACAGAATACACATAACCTGAATGACCATCTAATTTCGCTTTTTATTTTCCTGTCTTCACATCCCATAAACGAATAGACTTATCTTGACTACCAGATGCTAATGTAGTACCATCAGGAGAGAAATTGATTGATAGAATTCCATCTGAATGACCATCTAATTTGGCTTTTTATTTTCCTGTCTTAGCATCCCATAAACGAATAGAGTTATCCCTACTACCAGATGCTAATGTCGTACCATCAGAAGAGAAGCCAACCGTTTCAACAGATGCTTAATGACCATAAAATGAATATAAATCATTAATTATCAGATTATACCATTTGCAGTTAAACATTTATGCTCCATTTAGATTAATTTCATTTATATTCACATCAGTAAATTCTGATCGGCTTAAATTGCATTTAGCAAAATTACCTCCTTCTATGGAAGTGTTTTTGATCCTAATTTTCTCAAAATTAAGATTTGTTAGATCAACTTACATCTCAACTAATATATTAAGTGAGTTTGAACCCCCCTATATAAAACTTTTATCAACCGCTGTTAAATACACCAGAAATTTCAAAAACTCTATTATCAATCTTTCTTTATTTATTTTTTAGTTCAAGTACTTTCTAGTCTCAGCATATGTAGAAGTTGAATAATTTTCTAAAAAAAATTCATGTTTTTTTAAAGTTCTCAAAAGATTCAAAGTTAATTATATTTTTGTTTTAAATACATCTACTTTAATTAGGTTCTCTTAATTAATTTAATTTGATAAATATTCTATACAATTTTTATCATAATTGTTCTCTTTTGATAACTATTCTAACATCCAGTTGAATATCTGCTCATTAAAGTCTTTGGATAACACTAATATATCATATATATCAGCTGCTATATAGAACTCTTAAATTGATTTATGGGCAAATTAAAAGTTAGTTCCTTTTTATTTGATTAGCGAACAACTCCTTAAATCCTTTTAATAGGAACCAAATTAACGATCATCATCGTTAAAAAATTCATTTTACCACTTCTCCTCTTCTCTTTCTTCTTAATAAAGAAATCCATATTATTAAAATTCAACTTATGTCATTTATTTTCTGCTCATTACTTTTGCAAGATTTGTTGAATACTTTTTTAAGTCATGTAAAAACCGATCAATATGTATTGATTTTCCCATATTTCTCTGCTTTTCTATTTATTGATAATGATATTAATTAATAAACTCATTATAAAAGTCATAATTTGAAAGATTGAGTTCATATAATGCTTTAGAAACAACTTCAATTATTCTATCTTTCTGAATGTAAATTTTTGCAAATGCATTATTGAATAGTTCAAAGTTGTGTTCAAATAAATTGAAGAGTATTTTGTTAAGATCATTTAATTCTTGGTGGCTGAAAAATTGGATAGCAATTGAATTTTCTTCCATTTTATTCCAAACTCCAAGAGCAATTTCAAAGTAGTTAATTTTCTCTAAGTTTTCCACATCAGTTGAAGTAACCTCTGATTCTGTTTCATACTGTGCTAAATGCTATTTCTATTGCCAATTATACAATCGAATCAGGTAGTTACTTTTGTAAAACTCATGAAGCATATTTGGAAAATTTTTTAGAAAATTTAATCTCAAATTAATTATCTCAGAAGCTTTTACCATCATTTTTGGTAACACTTATACTATAATTTCCATCATATATGGGGTTTCTACCAATCTATGTAAATTTATGTGTTTCATCATCTTTTCATACTTTTCAACACTCCATAATTTTTATAATTTTACGCTTAGACTTCTTAAAGCTTCATTACTTTTGAAACTAAAGAAATAATTATTCTTCAAAAATGATAAAATATTCTCTATTTATTTTTAATTCAAAAGGGCTTCACCATTGAAATTTGTTACCTCTAAATTCAGACATTATTCTTACAATTCTTCCCAACTAATTTCAAAATTATTGATATCCAACACTCCTCGATTTAAAATTTATGTCTACCATTCATATATTTCGAAAATCAACATTTTAACACTCTAAATTGTGAATTTTTTTAAATATTCCATTGTTTAATCAGGATTAAATTTTTGAAGTTGAATCTCCTTTATATTTTCTTTATTATCAGGTGCAAACCAAAAGGCATAATTACTACTTGTAAAAATTTCACTCCTTGTGGTAAAAATAACAAGTGGGTCAAACCAATTCTATTTGAGTTTATTATTTATGTATAAATTTTTCTAAATCATCTCTAGTCTCATCTCATCATAACTATCCATTATCAATAACAATCTGAATTCTTTCCCTTCTAAAATCTCTTTACATTCTTTTAATTAAAGTTCGTCAAAGCCATACTCATCTTGATGAAGTGCTTCCTCTACTGCTTAAAAAACTGGGTTTTTTAATGAGGGTAAGGAGATATAAACAGGTATAAGCACTTGATTTCTAATTTTTTTATTATTGTCATGTAATTTCCAAATAAATTCTTCTATTTTCTTAGCTGTCGTACTTTTGCCAGATCCAGCTACCCCATGAATTAATAGCACTGTTTCTTTCTCTTCTAATAAAAACTCATTCACTTCTCCTTCTGTATCATTAATTTATTCTAAATTTATTAAAATACTTAATTTTATCATCTTTCTTTTCCCCTATGATTGCTTTATGATATATCTCTTTGGTTTATAATGGTACGTAAATGGATTTAATGTTCTTATATGCAGCGTCTTTTAATACTTTCCATTTTCTAATTTCAAATAATTATTCAACAGATTTTCCTCTCAAGAATTTAATATCATTACCTATGCTTTTGAGTTGCTCCTTCATTTCATTAATTTTACCCTCAACTCTTATCAAACCCTTTCTGATATGATTCACAAAATCAGTTATCAGATTCAGCTATTAACCCATTTCGCTAATATTTTCAATTTACTAATCTATTTTCTCTGTTGTTTCATCAAGTTCTTTCAAATCTAGATCTCTTTTTTTGAGATTGGCCTCATGAGAAATTTATTCTTATAATTCATCAATTCTGCTCAACATTTCCTACATTTTTTTGGCAATTCTTTCAATTTAAGTAGACCAATCTTTTTACATAATTTACATTTATAAGCTTATTAAGTGTTTATGTTTTAAAATATTTCTAACTCTCAAATCTTTTTCTTGAATCCACATTTTTATTAGAACTTTCTAACAAAAAGAAGTAACATTATCTGAATAACTATTAGAAGAAATTTAAATTATAGTAAACACCAAACCCTATTTAATTTTCCATTAATCATTATTTATAAAATCTTGGTATTTTTGAATTAAATTATCCTCTAATCCAAATTATTGATTTGATTCTTCATCAGCTTCCACTTCTTCTAAGTCCTCTAAATAAATTTTTTTTATTTATTTAATAAGAAAATCTTATTTAATTGGGCTGTTAGCAAAACACCTTTGTGAGACAACTTTTTCATAGACATAAATCTCTAATTAATTGAGAAAATCAGGGATATTTATATATGTTTGAATAATCTCTTTATCTTTTATTCTTTTAAATAACTCAGTTTCTATTCTGTCCAAATACAAATGAAAACTTTCATCTTCCTTCTAATATAAATTTACGTCTGTCAATTATAATAGCTCAAACTTCTAAATAAATTCTTAAATATAACATTAAAATCTTTATTGGAATTTAATTTAAATTTCTATTTTATACTTTTCAATTTAGTCAAGCTTTACAGAGAAAAGCACAAATTCTTCAAGTAATTTCTATAATAGCTCCATCTCTTCTTGGAGTTTTAATTTTTTTAACTTTATTATCTTAATCATGAAGGATAAGTAAGTTCTATAGTTATTGTCGCTGCGAAAGTTAAATTTCTTTCCATTTTATTTAAGTTCACATATTTTGTCATTTTCACTTTGTCCTTCTAATTATGAATTTAATTAAAATTGGTCAGTAAGATTACTGTTTTTATTTAAGACTCCCTCCTGTCTTAATTATTCTTCAGATACCTATACTTGCAATTCCTTCAAAGTTATTTTGTTTTGACTTATCATGATTTTTAAATTCATCAGTTCTTCATTAATTAACATTTTACCAATTTCTTTGTCTGTTTATCCAAAAGTTTCAATTGTTTTAATCACAGTTTCTATTTGCATGACTATCGAATTCCAATTCTCAATCAATTAACATTTACCTAAATCTTCTATTTTTATTAATTATTACAAAAAATTACTATATTTTTCTTTTTCCAATCTCAAATCTAATAAATTAAATTTTACTTCCCTCACATTTTTTAATGATTCATCAACTTAAAGATCCTCAAAAATTTTCTTAATTTTTTCTGTAGAAAATTAGGATGGAATTTCCTTGATGAATTATTCTCCAAATTCCTTTTCAATCAACTCTAAATCTTTACTTTCTGAGTCAAACATTTTTGCCTTTATGCTGTATTTAAATATAAGATATTTTATAATTCCTTTTTACTTTGATAACCTATTTGCAAAGTCTTCTTCTTTAATATTAATATTTTGTAGTTCAGAGAGAAATAATGTATCAAACTTAGTGTTTTCTCTCATAATTCTCTTTGGAAAATCTTAAATTAAATTTAGCAAAAATTAATCAAGATGTATAACTTCTAACAACTTTCTTAATTCGTCTAATTTAGCTTTTTCTAAAATTATTGAAAAAGATTTCCTTGAATTAACCAATTTTAATTTTAGCCTCATATTGCTGCACCTTAAGTTGTCTAGAAATTTAAGCAAATGCATGTCATCAAGAGCTTTTTTAATTTTTTTAAGATCGAAAATTTAGGGCACTGTCTCAATTTAATACATGATGATCATAATTTCCTTCAGACATAAATTGAACTCCAATTAATTTTATGAAAGTTCACTGCTCACATTTTCATAATATAAATAAAGATTATTTACTAAACTCTAAAAATATTATAATAAGTTGTTTTGGATCTATTTTATTTCTAATTTGTAAATATCCTTCTATAAAATTTCTATTAACTTTTCAACATGTACTAGAATTTAGTTTCTCGATTGTTGAGTTGCTGATGCATCGAGAAATGGTAATTTATATTCTTTCAAATCAATTGTTGTTAATTCTTCCGAAATTAAACATATCCACTCCTAAATAACACCATTATCATCAGTAAATTTTTTGTTTTAAGGATTTCTTTAATTTAAAATGATATATAATTATAATACCTCCTATAGTCTAAATAGGTTTTTCAGTTTCTAAATATCTTTATGTTCATTTCTATTTTTCGATACACTCTAATTAAGCCTCATAATTTTAATTATAGTCTATGTGTTTTAGAAATAGTCTTATAATTTATGTATAATTCTTTTTATTTATTATTTGGAAACTTATAATGTTACACTCTCATTATATTACTTATCATTCCTTATATTTCTACACATTTTTATTACTTCTTCCAATTTCTCATCATTTTGTTTAATTAATGTTAATAACTAATTGGATATTAGAAAACCTAAAAAACTTTAGATATTATTAATTGCCAATATATCCTCATTTCTTTGAAATTCTTCCCCAATCTCTAATTTACATTTTAAATATGATCCAAGAGAAAAAGGGAAATTTTGCTATTATTCATTCATGAGAACATCTTTAAGTAGTAAGAAAATTTCCCATTCCTTGAAACAAGATTCAAATATTGTTGTGTCAATTTAACTTAATTAATTATCTTAAAGTTTATTTAATTGGATGATTGCTTAATCATTACTATAATTCATTTAAATTATTAAGCCTTTTCTATGATAATCCTTCCAAATTTAATCTGATTTTAATCCGAAATTAAAATCATTTATTAGTTGTGATAATTTTTTTTTGGTTAATATAGGATTGTATAATATGATTTTCCCAATCATTTACACCCAAAGATAATGAAATTTCCATACATTTGAATTTTTCACAATTTTAGAATGTATTTCTTCTACTTGACAAATTATTTAGTCTAAGGTTTACCACTTTTCATTCTTAAAATAATTTATTATCTCCCACTACAACATATCTATTTAAAAATAAACCTCAAATTAATTTCTATTGTTATTTACAACATACAATTTGTAAAGATGACAGACTCCCTGAAACAATGATTCTAGCAATTCTTCATTTGGCTTCATTTAAATTATCGAACCAATTATACCACTTAAACATCCTTTTAAAATTTCTTCCCTTTCATTACTATTGTTTGGTGCCATTTCGAAAGAAGTTTTCGTTAAGAAAAGGTAGAGTTCCATTTAATTTTGAATCAAATCATTCTTCTCTATTTCCATATGTTATCTTAGTTCATCAGAGATATCCAAAAATTCCTTTTATAAATCATATTTCATAAATCTCTCCCCATTTAGTAAATGGAAGCTAAAAATTACTTTTGACAGAGATGCCGTTGTCTATAAGATATATAAACACTTAAACGAATCTGTTTTGATATAGAACAAACAGCTTTTCAATAATCTTCTAACTCCCTCCAAAATTAAATCGTATGATTTCACTACACCTTAAGCATTCTTATTGAGTTTGTAAATGCTTTCTTCTTAAAAAATAAACCATTATAAAGCTATCATTATTTCTTAAGATTCTAACTAATCAGCTGCAACAATAGCCTTGGTGCAGATTTTCTCAACATAAAAATTGAATTTGTTAAAAAAATTATAAAGTTCTTGATTATCTGACTTTAAAAAACTTGTTTCCAGAGGGCTTGTTTTCCAAGATCCGCAACCGCCTCCCCTCAAAATGAATTCTGTTTAAGACGTTTGAGATAACATTTATCAAGTTTTAAATATATAAATTCACGCTTGTCTCAATGCCTATATAAACACAAAAAATAATTTAAGCATAAAATAATAAAACGGAAATGTCGGAAATTAAATTGCCAATTCATCCTCCCTTTCAATAATATCTTCCTTTGTAAATAGGGTATATATCTTCTATAGAGGATGTTTCTCATTTTGCTTGTTTTTTTTTGAATTAATCCTGAAATTGGACTAATTTTGTAGGAGATCATAATTATATGAAATTTTATCACTTGATTTATCATTCACACTGTTCTAATAATCTTTTGTATTACTACAGTAGAATAGCTGTTATGATAATATAATTATAATTAATTCAAGAGCCGATTAAATTTATCAAGTCTTAATTAAGAAGAAGGGAATATAGAAAATAAAAAGATCACAAGATATAAAAGAAATGACCCAATTAAAAGCATTATTCAATGAAATGAAAATAAATAATTACAAATTGAAGTGATTTTCAATAATAAAGATTGGTTTTGAAAATGATATTATATTTCTAGCGTTTAAGTCGAAGAGTTCTTAAAATGCATTGTACCTTATCTCACCTTTTATTTCTCATTAAGAAAAGTAGCTAAGTATCAAATAGATATGTTCTCTCTTTCAATTTTTATTTGATTAAAATGAAATTGAGTTCTCAGAATAATCTATTGGTTCAGGGTTAGGAAAGGAGAATGATTTAAGAATTTTTCTAAATGGTGTACCAATAACATTAGAAACTTAACTTGGATGCTTGTAAAATCCAATAATTAAGAGCTGGATTTTTGAATGATGACCCTCAAATATTAATAGGATGCAAACATAATTCATTATGACATTTTTAGGAAGAGATAGACATACATAATCAAGTGTCCTGATAATGAAGTAGTCTAAGCATTGAGTTTACATGTTCACTCATGGATTAAATTTTATAATTACATAAATATCATAATAAAAAATAAATACTTTAGAATTCATCAACGATTTTGAATTTTTTCTTAATTGGGCCATAATTATTTACTTAGTACTATAATATCAAGCAGACATTGGTGATTTTGAAAAATAGAATAATTTGATAAAGTTTTTGAGTTATGATAGTACGAGTTTTTATAAATCTGAAAAGAAATATGATATTGTGGCTACGAGCAAAAACAGTCTCATTTTGAAAGGAGGAGAATTCAAACCGCAAACTCAATTAAAAAAATCAAATCATTTACCATGGAATCATCATAACATCATTTATACAATACCTATAGACTTGACAGGATCTCAAACTAAACAAATCTCATAATAGCTTTGATCCTCAAAAATAATGCATGAAGAGGGATGATCCTATCAAGTAAGTTCTTGTCAAGCGAGATTATTTCGCTGAAGTATCGAATGCATGACTATTAGCGAAACGAAAAGACACAAAAAATCTCATTAATTGAAATTCAAGATTCAGTAGCTGATACTCAATATAATTTCAATCCAGGAAAGAAAAAGAGCATTTATCTGTTTCCGTATCAATGTCGATCACAAGGTAAATCTCAAACAAAAAACTGGTCTTTGTGCAAGAAGAACTTCAAATATGACTGAAGGGGTCATTCTGTAGATGAATTTGATGAGCATCATTTAAATGCCTTTGAATATAATAATTGATTTTGGCTGTTAGATTTAAGTTCAACTAGAAAAAGTTGAACATAAAGATATTAAATGCAAATGTATTTATGAAGAATCTATTTTTTTTCCTAAATGCAAACTTGGCTAGTAATTCATGTAAGAATTAGAAAACTATTCAGTTGTACATGAATCCATGTTAATATGCCTTGCTACTATAAAAACAATTTGAAATACTAAACCTATAATCTTGAAGGTTAGGGCATTAAAACAAATTGACTTGAATTAAAAAGATGAAGTTTCCATTTTTAAATTAAAAACAATACACAAGACAAAAGCTGTAGTTGAGGCACGCTTTGTCTTTAAAGTGATAAATTCAATTTGTAGATATAATCCTCATATTTCTGCTTCGATATTGTATTAAAAGCAAATTGTATGACAAAAATCGTTGATTGATTTAGTTAAAGAAGGAGCTTATTATCTAGTTAGATAATTCCTCTTTGAGAGAAATTTGTCATAAGAACAAAAGAAAAGTCAAAAGATAGACTAAATACACTATAAGTTACCAATTTTTTAATAGCCTTCAACATATTTGTTACTTAAAGGTTGAGCTCTGCTCCAAGGAAAAGTAATTTGATCCTAGTGTTTGGCAAATCTAATTGCAATAAATTTACCACTCTCCGTAGCAAAGTTGTCATAAAATAAATTAATTTATTCTAAATCTTGTGCAAGTTTCAACTAAAGAACATTTTGAACAATTAATAAAACTTTTAGCAACTAGTACACTCAGCTGCTGATTAACAAAAATACAGGGTTAGGCAAATTACTTCCAAATAGTGGAAGACCAATGTCTAAGTATTCATTTATTAATCAATTCTTAATTCACAAGCGATAGCTGCTAGTAAATTTTAGCTGTTTTACTCATTGTGGTAAGAGAATATAATCATTTCTTATGAAGAACATTAAAGAAACACCAAAGAGGACACTATAAAGTTTACAATGTCCATTATCAATATGATAACCAGCGAAATTAGATATACAATTAAAGGCGTAATAAATATTAAGCGGTAAAAGGGAATAACTAACCCAACTCTGAGTAGTTAGCTATGCTAAGATACTTATACACTGTGTATGAAGTTCATTATTCATGAGAAGAACTTATGATACATTTGCACTGCTGTTATTAGAACTATCAGATAAGTATAGCTTAAAAGTTAAACAACTTAAGGTGTAAACTAAACTTTTTTATTAATGGTATTCAGACGGAATGCCTTAGAAGTCCAAAATAAGGGATGTTTCCTAAATAAGAAGGCCTCGCCAACATTATAGAGCCTAAATATATTTTCAATAATATTAATTAATATTTTAAAATTGAATACTTTATCAATCATTTTCCATCTTCTTTATTACTATAATTTTAGCATAATCAAAACATATAAAAATTGTAGTTTGTGTAAGCAGTGGAGGTCCAGACAGTGATTTTTGAGATGATCTTGATAATCATAACAATACATATTAATATATTTTTATGATTATTAAAGTTTTGAAAGCAATCTTTTACTTCAGATAATACAGTAATTGACTTAAAACTTTACCCTTCACTATAAGGATTTTTTCTTGATCAAGTTAAATATTGAAGGCACATGTAGCTGATTATTGAGCTCATCGCAAGTTGTGTGAGTGAGTTCCTTAACTGGTTCATATGACAAAAGAATTAATAGATGGTACAATAAGTAGCATCATCTGATACCAAGCAAAACAATACTAAAAATTTGGCTGAAATAAATGATTTTATAAAAAGAGTTTGATTCAAATCGTATTGATAATCTCTGCGCAGGGCTTGATAATAGAAACAAATAACATACATCAACCAGCATTCACGCTAACTCTATACAAATATTAACATAAATTATAAGCATCTTTAACGCTGATGTCTTAAATGTTGCAAAGCAGTCTTCAAAGTAAGCTTAACATACATTCAGCCAAATGATTGTATTGAACACTCATTTTGAGCATATATATAATATAGATGTAGGAGGTGCCATCATGACATGCTATAAATTCATGTAAACATTTTCGAACAACAGTACATTTAACCCACCCGCTAGAATCAGAAGTGGTTAAATGAAATAATAAATCATAATCACAAGTTGGATGCAAACCAAGGCTGATAAAATCATAAATATTTTTCCCATGCTGTTCGGTCTGCCTAATACATGCTTTTATATTTTATATGTAATAGTTGCCTCTTTATTAAATTTAGACTCTGCTACAGCAAGTGAAATGTTGTACACTTAAGAAAAGTTAGAGGGGATAGTTGTAAAGAATGATAAAAGATTTTTGAACATTTCTAACTTTTAAAATCAATGTACAACAATTTATAAAGCAAAGCATCCCCTTAGCTAAAGTTTTTTTCAATCATTTGTTCCATTACAAGCTTGTTTAATATTGAGATAATAATTCTAGAAATAAATAAAAAAAATTAATTATAAGAGTTTAAGAATGATTTAAAAATAATTGTAGCCTAAATTACATATTGTCCATTTATTAGAGCTTTAAGCTTCAGAATAATAAGTAGGTAGAGTAGTTGCAACCAAGCTCCAATTTGTGTTTAGTTCCATAATTATTATAATGGCTACGCTTTGAATAATTTTTATTGAATTAAGAATTAATATTCAACTCTAAAGTATAATTATAATGATAATGCTATGAAATAAATAAATTATTTCTTATTATTATTTGAAAATAATTAATATACTATAATTCAGAATCTGTCATTTTTTTTAAAAAAATAACCTATATTCAATTGAGCAAAATACAGCACATCATTATTAAAAAAATTTTTGAGAATGATCCTATTATGAGTAATTAAGTCAAAAATGAAAGAAGTCATTTCTTTTTTAAATTGTACTTTATTTGATTTATGGCTTTACAATATTTTTCAATGAGATACCTTACAAAGTTTCAAAAAATTAATTAACCAGTAATTTAGATCATCACATTAAGGGACGAAGGATAGGAAGATATTATAATTTAAAATTAAATTTAAATCTTGTTTTTATAAAAATAACTACTCTAAGGGTGTAAAATATTTTCATTTAATATAGCAGGATAGTAACTTGAGCATGATCTAGTTAGTCTATTGATTTAGTTTGATAAAATGTTGTCCAAACTGCAAATTTAATAATGAATTTTTGATGAGGTTTTGATTTAAATAAATTTCAGCTTATAAAAATAGTTCAGAATTAACTAAATTACTATTTTTTAAAATAATTTAGATTGTTGTCTTGTTTCTTCTAATCAATAGTGCACTAAATTCTTTTCTGTCTATATTAGGCTTCTGTTTTATATTTTGTAGTCCTGCTCTAATGAAAAGATACTGGTTTCGTATGGAAAGGACTCAATCCTTGTGAATCGCTTTCAAGGATTCCACTCTATTTATATCGAGATTACTTTTGCTTAAGTTAATTTTTTGTATACTATATTTTGTATAAATCTACAGTTTAGGTTTCTTTCTGAAGATCATTTTATGTCGGCAAAGGCTTAAGTAAAAATTTCATTTATTTATTGCCACAGCATTTTTATGGGCTAATGCTACTACTACTACTATTTTTCGTATTTTGAGATAAGGAACTATCTAATCTTTTTATTTGAACCTTTTAGCTTCTTTCAGGATATTCTTTTGCAATTTTTAGATCTGGTAATAGATTATGCAGGAACAATTAATCTCCATTGTTATTTTCTTATCTTTCTATGCTTTTGATCATTATAGGAGAAATATTGGTAGAAGAATAGTCACTCTACTTTGATTTCTAAATTTTTTTGTCTTATTTTAAGAAGTTTAATAAATTTGAAGTTTAATAGTAAGGGGAAGAATCCTAATTATCATCACTTACATCAGTTTTAGTAAATTTTGATTAATTGTCAGATAAAGTATGATATTTTTATATTGATATTTTGACATTATTCTTGAGATGTATAATAATCATCAAACCTTATATAAAAAGTATGGACTTCTATGTCAAAAGCCAAAGGTCAAACATTTCAGTGAAATTTTATGGAATCACCTACCTTTTCTCATCTATCCAAGGATGAAGCAAAGCTTAAAAAGCACTATATCTTTTAGTGGAATCAAATTCAGTCATTCTTTAGAACAAAGATATCTATTAACTATATTAAATCAATAAAAATACCGATCCATTTTTTGAAAGTTATCTATTGTATGAATTTTTTCCATATTTTTATTATTCTTAATTTTAACTATTTATAAAATATGTATGTTAACCCTTATTTAGCAATTGATATAATATAACTCCTACACTCCACACATCTACATTCTAATTAAATAAAAATCATACTTTATTATACACTTTTTTTAATAATAACTCTGGAGCCATATATGTTAAAGTACCACATTTCTTTTGCATTAATGCATATCGGTTATGATGAGAACTCAATCCAAAATCAGTAATTTTAACAATATTTGCTGCTTCTCCTATAAGTATATTATCCGGTTTAAGTCTCTATGAACAAAGTGGTTATCATGAATATAAGATAGGGCACTCAAAATTCCTTAAATAATTTATTTAATTTCTTTAATTTCAAACCATTAGTCATATTTTAACTTAGTATACATTAATTTTTATAATGATCCTCCATTTATAATTTCCATTTCTATCAAAATTTTAGTATCTGTTCTTTTAATATCGTAAAATTTGACTATATTTTAATGATTTAATTATGAAAAAATAGCAACCTCTTATTCAAGGGCTTCAAATCTTTTATAGTTGCTTTTGAGATAATCTAAGTTACTTGTATACACAGCTACTTTTATTGCTACTAAAGCCTTTGAATTGTTATTGACTGCTTTAACAACCAATCCGAAAGCTCCTTATTCTAGTGTTTCAACATAAGTATAATAATCACTAAATCTATGTTAAAGGTCATTCTAATTTAAAATTTCTTCCATCTTTTTTTGAAGAAATTATTATAAATTAAATATTTATTTAGATTTACTTCTTATATTTCATCTATTTTATTCAATTCAAGAATGAAATACATATTTTTTTTGTAAAAAGTGGTTATAATTTATATATCTACTTGTTTACTGTTTAATAATCTCATTTATAATATCAATCTTTTTTTTTAGTTCCTTATTTATCCTCAATCAGATCTTCTTAAATATCATCCTCAGTTAAGGTTCCGTATATAATTTTGTCTTCAGGTGCTATTTGATGTATTTCTTTCTCTAATTATTGTAATGAAACAGTGGCTGAACCTAAAACATATAAATTAATTTATACCTCTGGATTTTGGTTTAGATTATGATTCGTGATACTTCCAAGCAGAAAAGTAAATTTATTCAAATGTACTATTCACCTTCATATTCTCATTTTTAAATAAGGATTCATAGATAGCACTTACACTTTGGGTTGTCTCTTTAAAAGTGCCTATCCTTTTTTAAATCAATGCTTCGCCTTCTCCGATATCCTAAATATATTGCATCAAATGATATACAGAATCAAACTCATAAAGGCTATATTAATATTCTATAAATAGTTACTTTCTTTCGGTGCATATTGTAGGCAGGGTGAATTTTAATCTTGCTAACAAGTTTCCCATTTCTGTAATAGAAATGAAGGGAGACACATGTTATGAAACTCCTCCAAATCGTTCATTTTCAGCTAAAGAAAATGAGATTCGCAATTCTTATAGAGTATCAGAACCAAATATTGATCCAACTAATGTACCATCTGGTTCTAAGCTTTCTAACCATTTTATTAAAACTACTTGCAAGTCATTTACCCAATGCAAATTCATATTTGATACTATTAATTGAAGATGGCCATCCAAGAAAGGCCAAAAATCCTCATCACAACAAATTGGAACCACTATTGTTTTATTGCCTTAAGAATTCATTTCAGAGACTTTCTAGATTTAAAATTTTCCTCTTAATTGTTCATCATTGTTAAGTTATTATAAGCTCTATTCCAAAAAATCTAAGTCAATATCACATAAATATATGGTTTTAGGCTATAAATCTAGTATTATTAAAATTATAGACTGTTCGGTAAATTTTGTAAGAATTATGCAGCTCCTTATCCAAAGTAGGCGATATTGCCATCATATTATTTTCGAATAGAAGATAAATTGTCAGCCAATGTGAAGGTCGATTGTTTTAAAAATATATTTTCAATATTTGATCTTAAAGCATATTATCTATTCATGATATGTTTATCTCTATCAAATATTTGTTTTGTTTTTATAGTATTTTATTTGCTAAAATAACTTGAAATTTTGAATAGCATCAATTATTAAAAATTAAAATAAGTATTTATTTTATAATTATTTGTTTAGATCAAATACCTGTACTTCCATTCTGATTTAATTGGATATATTCTACTATTATAATAAAATATGTAAATTTCAAAATAGACCATGAAATTAGAAGAATAAATAATACATTCATTTAGATATTAAATACGTTATTTTAGTCAACAATATTGTATTTTTGTAGTAATAGATTCATTGAACTGCTTTCAAATATTTTTCATTTCTCAAATTCTTCTATAATTTCTGCCACTAAACTGACTAATGTTGTTTATTTAATTTGATAAGCTTTGACTAAAATTCTAATTAAAATTGCAAAATCATTTTCATCAAATATCCGATTTTCAATGGCCAACTATTTGATCCACCTTTTAAGTGGATATTGAGGGCCATGTAAACTATTAATAAAATTAATCCAAATAATTTAGGTTTTGGTGTTTTAAGGTATAAAATTTTCAACATCTATTTTAGGAGGAGGCATTATCTTCCCATTTTAGAGTTTATCTTATGTTGATTTTGATTTGATCATAGTTAATTTATTAAACATAGAATTTGAATTTAGACTTTAAGGAGAGGGCAATCTTCTGAAAAAATACGAAGGCTCTTTATTACTTCTATCTGTTAAGCATTCCTTGATGTTTTATAATTTTTTTCTGTGTATTGCCATATTGAAATCATTTATTCTTGTAGAAATTGGAAGTTTTGAATTTTCATTCTTCTTTAGAAATGAAGTTTTAATCTCTGTATTCAAATGCCTTTCTTTAATCTATTAAAGGCATAATCTATGACCCCATAATTAGGATAATATTAATTATCGCCCTCCCATATTCCGAGTGTCGGGAGTGAATTGCATACGTTAATAAAATATTATAAATTAATATTACAATATTAATAAATTTTGTTCGATTCTTCAAATTACTCTAGATCCATTATTCCATTCTTACTCTTCGTCCTAACCACCTTTCTATTTTCTAATTCCTTTCCCGTGTTATTTATCATTTTACCATTCTCCAAAATAACTTGTTCCATCACTATAAAAGAATGTCCCATCCCCATTTCTAAGATCATTTTGAAATTAACCTAAAAGATTCAATATTGTATTACCTTTGTAATATCTTCCATCAGGGTAAAATAATTCCCCTTGGCCATTCATCATACTATTCTTCCAATTACCATTATATCTCCTCTTATCAGCCCAAGTAAAGGTTCCATATCCTAAAATTAAGGAAAATAGATTATACCTTCCATTTGATCATTTACTATACTACCTTCATATATCGACCCATCTGTCCATTGAAATCGACCTGTTCCATATTTAACTCCATTATCATAGCTTCCTTCATACTTTGTTCCATCAGGCCATGTTTCTTTGCCAAAACCATTTTGTTTATTGTTTTTGAACTCACCTTCGTATTTTGTGCCATCAGCGTATTTATAGATTCCATTACCTTCCATATTGCCATTCTGAAACTCACCCTACTATGTTCTAGAGATTATTATATACATAAAAATCTCCAGATGCCATAACTAATCTCCCATGAAGATGTTAATAGTCTTAGAAAAAGTAACCTTCGTATATAGAACCATCTGAATAAATCAATTTTCCTCTGCCTTCCCTCACACCATTCATCCATTATCCTTCATAAATCGAACCATCTTCTAAAAGCTGATATCAACTTAAATTTTACGTAAGGAGTTAAAGATCTAGATTTTTAGAATTTTTCATCGTATCTAGTATTGTAATTGTATTCTCCATATGCAAGTAATTTCTCTTTCACAAAATTGTTGCAGGACTCTACAGTTCCATTATAAGGTTTTATATTTTCATTTTTTGGTTTTGTATTTTCCATTTACTCTTTTTCTTGCTCAGCCTAGATATTTGAATTGTAACTTACCTCCTTTCTTGCTTTCATTCCTCTAAATCCTGATTAAATTTTAATCACATTTTATTCATCATATGATGATAATGGCATTGCCTCGGCTTAAACTTCTTCAGGCTTAACCTTTTCTTGAAGTTAACCTTCTTCAAAGCACATACTTCCTCGTTAATCGATTTCTGTTGAGACTGGATGTTGTGAAATGCAAGGACCCATTAATATTAGTAAATTATAAATTCAATGAAAAGAACCAAATATTTCACCTGTTAGAATTAACTTACTTCGAAAAAACAATATGAACCGGATGGGATTTAATTAATTGATTCATACATCTAATAAAATAATTTGAAAATTAAATGATTAGTTATTTATTAATCCCTGTTCAAGCAAAAACGCTTACTAGGGCAAACGAGATTTATTAAATAATTTATTAAAAGAAATAATTTTTCATTTTAATTTATCATAATAATCTCAGTGCATTTGTTAGCTTCAAAATAATAGAGTCCTCCCCATTAGTAATTAAATAATTAATGTATGAGCAAAATGGGTTCATATCTCAAAATCTCAATCAAAGAATAGGATCAAAATTTAGGACTTGAAACATTAACTATAAGTTCTTTATTCATCATTTATCATTAACATCCAATAAATCAAATTTTTCAATCTAAATTATGATAATTTGATACTTTAATTGAATCGACTAATTCCTATGTCCTTTTGCCTTCTTACTTCTATAATTAAAAGTTCATACGCATATCTAAATTTGATTAGAGATTATTTTAATATAGATCATTACTATAGAGGGGGCTTCTATTGAGATTTTTCATGTTGAATTGCAAATATCTTTTGATTTGATTATTGAATTATTTAGCCTCTCTAATTTTACCTTAACTCCAAATTAGTAACAATATTTAAATTGTAAATCAGATAGGGCTTTGTAAGAAAGATATCTACTGATTTTGTGAGGTAATTGGTTGCAAATGATGAATTAATTTGACATATAAATCGATATATGATATATATAGAATCATTTTAATTTTGCTAATCGTTATTCGACAATCCTATCAAGTCTCAGTTATTATTTGAGTAATTCAATATCTTTTTTATAATTAGTTTGATATGTTGTTGAATCATCTTAATGTCGTTATTCTATAGTAATTTTATCATCATTAATGGAAATTTAATGTCTAGAGATAAGATTAATAAGCTACTATTCTGAATTCTCGTCGTCATTTTCTTCTTCTTGGTTATGATCAATCTATGATTTTTGGCTTTCACTTCTTAAATCTAACTCAACCTATTGAACATTTTCGGTGAATATCACTCCATCAGGATTCCTTCTAATCCATGGCGCTTCCGGCTTGTTGTCCACGTCTGTAGACTATACTATTGTAATCGAATAATTAGAATTACTTGAACTCCTTCAATTAATTTATTATCAAACTCTGGATTCATAGAGGGAGGAGTTATTCTAGGTAAACAGAACGATAGTCTGGTTTCTAAATTTCCAATTTTAAAAGTTGGGAAAATGCAGCATAATCTATTAGAGTAGGGAAAAATGGTTGCACTTTTATGTTAATTTGAGTCTAGTGCTGCAAGAAAATCTCGAATTGTAGTTTCAAATGATTCCTAAAGCTAATCAGCTAATTAATTTAATAATTCTTTTCCTTTTCTCTTTTATTTATTCTTAAAAAATATATATATAATTTACTAAAATTGTAGCAATAGCAACATTGTAATAGTATTCGTACATATTATATGTTCTATCCTCAAATTCCAACTCATCTAATTCACTGATTAATCTCTCCTGTTGTTCTTGCTATGAAATTAATGAATTATTAGACTATTAACTAAACTCTTTTATTTATTATTTCAATCCATACGATTTCGTCCATAACTCCATAGCTTTTTTATAGTTTCCTAAGTAGAATTTCATTATTCCTCTATAAAATATTAGATCTGATGTTAAAAACACATGACCATCTGATCCTAAAACAATCAATTTTTTAAGCATCTAAGATGCTAATCTGTAATTGACTGATTTATTTGATCCTTGAGATAACTTAAGAATCATCATAGATTGGGATTCATCTGGACCTACTGTTGATGTTTTCAAGGCTAATAAGCATTCTTTATCAATGTAGCTTTTCTTATCTCCAGTCAATTCTATTATCCTATTTAGATCTGACATTGCATAATTTAATTCTTTTTAAATGATGTAACACAGTGCTCTGTATCTTAATAATTAAACATTATTGTGAATATCTGGAGAGTGGGAATAAGTTTTGATTGCGTGTTCATAAGCTCCAATTAAAAATAATAAATTTCCTGCCCATAAATGAATATCAGGATCTTTGGGTTTAAGTGAAATATAAGTTTGCAAATCATTAAATGCAGCAGTTCTATCCCCTAACAATGTAAATACTTTGGCTCTATTTAAATATGCTTCAGCAAATTTTGAGTCCCAATTGATGACAATAGTGAAATCATTTAATGCTTATTGAGGATTGTCCAAACAGGCCCTTACTAATCCTCTTGCATAAACATACTTAGCTACTCGATCTTCATTTTTCTCCACTGCTTTTGTTAAATCAGATAATGCCAAATCTATTTATCCAAAATAAAATCTTAAAATTCCTCTATGATAAAGAAGGTTAGAATTCTAATCATTTAAAGTTACTGCTTTATCTAAATGCTTTAAAGCGTTTTTAATATACTTATCCTTGTCCTTTGGCATATGTTTGTTAATAAATTATATCAGAGTCAAGGACTTATAAAAATGAGGCTCCATTTTACCAGGAAACAACTTGGATGCTTTCTGAAATTGTGATTATGCTTTTTCAAATTGGCTGGATTAGGACATTACAATTCCTTCACATATGATCTTATTATATAATGATGGTTAATCTAATTCTTAAAAGTTTTAAACATAAATCAAGTCATTTAATGCTTTTTAGAATTTATTTAAACAAATAAAACCTAAAATATTCAATAACATTACCATAGGCTCTATAAAGAAAGATAATCTTCTTGATGAACTCTCCCAATTAATAATTATTAATTAATTATGTGAATACATTTACACCTTCTTAATATTTTCTTTTCATTAAGAATATCACTCCTTCTGTGAATTATCTTAATTTCATAATTGATTCTTTATCAACCTCTAAATGATCCTCTCTTTATAATGTATAATATGCAGAATAGAAATCCTTTTAATCAATTTTAATTTTGGCTATTTCTTACAACGATTTTGTTACTGCTTTCCTACTATTATTTTATTTAATTGATTATTCAAAGCTCAAAATAGCTTCATTTAATTATCCTTTATTTATAAAAATTTAGCCTTTCATGAAGAGTGCTTCTGAACTATTGGGGTCATTCATTAAAATTAAATTGATAGCTTCCATGGCCCTATCTAAAGACTATAACTCAATATAGCAATATATTTTTCTCATTAAAATTATTTCATTTTCTGGAATAGTTTCATAAACATTCAATGCTTCAGCTATTTTACCACTCAATCTTAAGCAATCTGCTCTACCTAACGTACCTTAAAATGATATTTAATCATTCTCTAGGACACTTGCCTGATTGAAATCCTGTAAAGCTAACTAATATTTTTTTATTTTCATTAATAATTTTCCTTTATGAATTAATGCATCATAATAAGTTGGTTATAATTTTGAATATTTTTTAGATAAAAATTCTTTTAATACAACTATTGCATCACTGTAGTTCCCAATTTTTTTTAAACACAATGCTTATAAAATTACTGTATTTCCATTTAAATCCCCTGATTGTCTTGCTCTCGAAAACTAATTAACTGCTTAATCATATTGGCGACAATTCATATGAATTAAACCCTTAAAGTAAGCAATTTCTTTTATGTATTCTGGATTTATTTGAGGTTAATCAATCTCCTCCAAATCTTTTAAGGCCTCTGAAAATTTTTATGCCTTTATCAGCTTTTCACAATTTAATATTCTTTTCGCGGGAGATTATGAGAAATATTGATGAACATGGTGTTCGCTTGTAGTGCTATTAGGGTGTAATTTGCTAAATTTAAAATTTAATTGTTATACTTCTGTAAAGATGATTTTCGGGTAGATAACTAAATCGTCTTCAGGTTTTTTGTATTAAAAGAACTGTTTAATGAGGCTTTATGATTAGTCATTGACTTATTTTTCTTATTATTAACTATACTCCCTGATTTTCTTTTTGAATCGTCATTTCTAGATTGAACATTCCGATGATCAACATCTTCAGTTTTCAAATAACGATTTTGGCTTCTTCTTATAGTTTATTACTGTCTGCCTTCCCACATTGAAGGGGTGAAACATTTCCTTCTTGGAGATAAACTACTTCTAACAAGCATAATTTTTGTTAGTTATTTAACTTTTAATATATATAAAATTTGAAATCTAATTTACATTTCCATTATAATTAGTTAGTTTATATTCAAAGATTTAAAAATTCAAATGGCACTTCATCTACCAAGAGAACAGAATTTCACAATTATTGAAATAAAAATCATTTAACAAAGTTACCTTCAAAGTTATCTAGGCAATAGCTTTCTATTGTAAGTAATTAAATGACATTTTACTATAAAATTTATCATTTATTTATGAAGATTTTGCAATTTGTAAATAAGGAACACCTTTTTTTCAAGCTTTTTATGAGAAATATTAGGAATTTATTGTTTAAAATAATTTTAACAATTGGATTTTGTAAACCCTTCAATCAGTATGATTAATTTTGTATTAATAATCGATATTTGTTTATAAACTACAATTGTCATTATAAATCTCTACAAGTACACTATTAAACAATAAAAAGTTCTTTAGAAATCGACTTTATTTTCTTTGAACCCAATTAATAATTATATTAGATATTCTAATTATTGATTATATAATATTATCAGTCCATTTTATTATTTTATCAATATATAATTATAATATTAGAGTGCTCTCCAAGAAGTGGTGTTCTCATTTAAATCTCTTATAGTCATTTATTTATTTTAATGTCATTGAATTCCTATTAAAAATCTTCTCAGTGATTCGTATGATATTGTGTTAACTAAATCTATGATGGTCAAGAAAATTCTAGTACGTAGCATGATGTAATCAGGTGACTTGTAGATCGCTTATAAATTTTCATTTATTGCAGGCATCTATAGTATTCCATATTTGCTTCTATTTTTATAAAAAGTAAAATTATGAAAATGTTATGAATTTCGTAATATAATTTGTTTGGCAAATCAAACTTTGAGTTGATTTGCAGAGAACATTGAGCTAGTAAACCTTTACTTGATAATATAGAAAAAAGATATTTCTAAATTTTTAATTAATTAGCATCATAAAATTACATAATCAAAATGACATCATCAATTCTTATTTTAATGTCATCATCGAGGAGTTTAAAGCGGAGCGAATAAAAATTGAAAGATTTAATTTATTATTATGTAAAAAACATTATTAGTTGCAGGATTGGCACTCCTTTTAAGCACAATAGGCTACATCTAAAATCAATAATCTGTTGATGAAGTCTCCATGGTTTATGAAGGATTTAAATAGAAATTCTAAAAGACATACACATCAGCTGAGGAAGCTTACAGAAGAGGCATCTTTGAATAGAACTATGCTAAAATTTTAGCTCACAATGCTGACCCAACATAAACATATTAAACTGGTGTTAATCAATTCACCGATATGACTTAAGATGAATTTGTTGCCACCTATTTGACCTATACCCCACCTGAGGGATGGTAACCATCAGATGAAGAAGTCGTTTAAGAAGGTGTTGCACCAAATGACTCAGTTGATTGGAGATCATCAGTTCGTGTTAAGAACCAAGGAAGTTGCGGTTCTTGTTGGGCCTTTTCTGCAGTTGGTGCTGTAGAAGCTTTCTTCAAAATCAAAAAAGGAGCAGATCACAATTTATCTGAATAATAATTAGTTGATTGTGACAAGGCAAGCAATGGATGCGATGGAGGATATCCAGATAAAGCTATCAAATATATTGCAGCTAATGGATCTTAAACTTAAGCCGCCTATTAATATACTGGAGTAAAGGGAACATGCAAAAGCGCAACCGGATCAGTTAAAAATTCAGGTGTTTCAACCATTGCCAAATCAGGTTTATAAGCCGCAATAAAAGACTATCCAATTTCAGTCTGTGTTGATGCTTCAAATTGGAGTAACTATAAATCAGGAGTCTTCAATAATTGCAACAAGAATCTCAATCATGCAGTTATGGCTGTAGGTTATGATGCTTCAGGTAATTGGATCATCAAGAACTCTTGGGCAACTAGTTGGGGAGAGAAAGGTTTTATGACTTTATAAGCAGGAGATACTTGTGGTGTTACTTAAGTGGCTGTCAAAGCAATTTGAGATAATATTTACATAAATTTAAATAATAATAATCATAAAGTAGACATAAATCTTTATAAAGCTTGTTTCTATAATCCAATATTTACAATAAAACTAAAATGAGGACATTATTATTCTATCTCAGTAAAATAAATCTTTGTTTCTCTTAACTGGATCTTGCCCTTTATTTATTAATAGTAGATATGAACTTTTTGATGTCCTAAAAAAGTTGTAAAATAATTAATGTGCTATTTTTATAAGCCATAAATGTCAATCCGTCAGTATTTTCTTACACTTATTTTGTTTCTTCTAAAATATGGGATTGTTGTTAATATATTTTTATTGATAGCAAGACCCAAAAAGTTTTATGATTTTATCTTAAACCCAATATATTCACATATTTATTTCAAATCACTTAAGGATAATTTTGCATTCATGTAATTAGTCTAATATTTAAAATAACCATCTGCAATGAATAAGTTTAGAATTTCCCTTAAATTTATTTGTTTTTAGCAATAAAATATTGGCGATTCACTTTAATAGCCCAAAACTCTGATTGAAAGATTAAACATGGATGAATTAGCATAATTAATAGATTCAAAAGCAACAAACGGATTATCTTTTCCAATATCTAAACTCATGTAATCTAAAAAGAATTAAATTGTATATAGTCCAATCTTATCAATTTTAAGCTGCATTTTATGGATAAATTCTTTGAGATTAGCTTTAAACGCAAAATCAAGACAAATTTAAGAACTATCTTAAAATTATGATTTTATGGTTATAACCTATTTGTCCTTTATCAGTGTTTAATAATTACTTGATAAATTCTTAAAATGATTTAAAAGTTCTTGGTTTTCCATCGATTCGTTCTTTTTCTTTTAAATATAATTTTTTCCAATCTATTTAAAAGAGTTCACATTAGCATTAGTATCTTGCTCCAATTATTCTATCAAGGTTTTCTCTAAATAATTTTTATTTTGTGCTTCACTTTCAATTCTAATATTGAATGGATCTTTTAAACTTAATCTCAATAATTTTATAAGTTAAGTCCAAACATTAGCTCAACTCTCATTTTATCACACTTGTTATTAGTCTTACTTTTATTTTAAAATAATTGCTTATTAATCAATCTTCTTTTTAAACTATTATTAAGTTCTCTAGTAAACTCAAAAAATTTATGTAGATTAATAAAAGTTTATTATTTATTCATAATTAATTTATTAGTTGTAAATTTTCTAAGGTAAACAGATTTCCTTTGCATTTTAGTTTATTCAAATAAAATTGAAAACATTTCTTAAGTTTCCAAACTAGCTAAATCTACAAAATTAATAGTTCCAAGTAGATACCTACTTGTTTTAGGAACATATATTTGAATAATCCAAACATCTATAATAAATGACTATAAATAGTAACAACACCATATTCTACTGGCCCACTCTTGAAATTACATAATTAAGAATTCTTCACACCAACACGAAACTTTTTAATAAAATGTCCAATCACCCTAGCATCTTTTAAATATGTTTCACAATAATTCTTAGACTTACTCCTTCAAATCATAAAATAATTTCACAAACTAACAATTACTATGTCTTTCCAATAAATTCAAGTTGTTAATTTGAATGATATATCCTTTTGGGGACTACTGATAGAGATACTTCTTAGATACACAATAAAGTTTATCTAGTTTTTTTTGATAAAAAGTAACTATATCTAAATTTTCTTTCTGTATAAGTATTGTTCAAAATAATCACAGTCATTTTCTAAATAAATTTATCATCGAAGTAGTAAATTGATTAATGTTATTCAATGTTAATTTTGAATAATTCGAGAAAATATCATTTTAAATGAAGAAGTTTTAGATGATAACAATTCTAATTATAAATTTACATACAGCATTTCACCATCAAAATAATATATTCGTTCATTTCCTTTCTAATCAAAAATAAAATTATCTAATTTTTTATTAAAACTGTAATATATAGATGTATGGCAATAAATTATTAGTTTCTGTTAATGAAGAATCTGTAATGATTTGAATTAAAATGATTTGTCATATCTTTGTGTTTACTCAATATCATAGTTTTTAACGTGAGATGGCATATAATTAAATGCTTTTTTCTTCCTTTTACATTAATTTTAAAGACATTTTCTTTAGTTTTCAATTGATTATCATTTTTCAAAATAATTTTATTTTAAATTAAGTTAAGTTCAAAGTAAGTAAACAAAAATAGACTTAATGATTCAAATCTAATATTCTATAATTGTTGTGGATCTTTCTCAAGATATTCTAATAATTAATGGTATAATGAAATCTATAAAGAATAAGGCTCAGTAAGTAAATTGCTTTTAATATTATCAACAACCTTTTCCTTATTAAATAAATATGAAGAAACTTTTAATTCAAAATATTATCTTTGTATTCGCTATCCAAATACTTGAGGAATATTGAGTGAGTTGCCTTTTTTCCTCTCTGGACTAAGTATATCATTTAAATGGTATTTTAAATCTTTAGATATTCCTATTTCCAATGTTAGTAAAACAAATTTTTAAAAGCATTTCTTAAAAATCAGATTTATACATTTTAGATAATCTAATAACAGTTGAAAATATCTTTTAAGAAATTCCTTTAAGATTCACTGATGGTCCTCCATCTATCATAAATTATCTAGAAGTACAAATAAACCTAAACAATAGAATACTATTTTTATTTTTCTATTTATTTACTAAGTAATCCTGCAATTCCTTATCTGTAATATTATCAATAATATTTGACTATTTGTTATGAAAATGCATTTTTTCAATTCTTTAATATGATATTCATACGAGATTATCTTATTTATCAAATTCATGTTTATGTAATTGAATGTTGTCTAATTAATATTCGGTAGAATTTCATATGCATAGCCACAAATCTTTTTTATCTTACTTATCTAGGGTTAATGAAATTAACAAAGATAACTTTAAACATAAGAACAAATATTGATATCTTCAGCATTAATTTTAACCTTTGCTCTTTAGGTTAGTCCTGATATAAATGAATACTTATCTTTTTTATATTGTTCGAAATTAAAAATTTATGAATTATATTTAAATTCGTCCAACTCTCTCAATGCCTCAACAACTGTAGGCCAGATCTTGGCCCCATTTTTTTCTCTGCCTTTTGAGACAACCGGAAGATCAAAACTAAAAAAATTATACGAATTCCCTTCTTATGAGACATACAAAACAATAAAATTTTTATCTGCTGTTAAATCTTTATATTTTATTTTCCAAATTTAAATTTTATTTTGAAAAAGAATTTTTTATTTTAAAGTTGGATAGTATAAACGCTATTATTTAACATATTATAAAGTTCCATATTTATCTTAGAGATATGTGATATCTTCTGTATTATAATTTATAAGAGCTAACCTTTTAGCCAAGCATATAGCCTTAAAAAAACCAAATCCTTTCCCCTTAATTTCATCTTTCATAGAGTCTTTTTTCTCCTCAAAATCTTTTCAAGGTGTTGGTTAACTTTGAGCATTTGCTTACTTTTCAGTATGATTACCAATCACATCAGGAGCTGTTATAAATCGATTGAAATTTAAGAAGGTTGTAATAGACTGTGGCTTTGATTATACAGGACCAAGAATAGTTTATTATTTCTCTTATTACCACTTTTTTCTAAGTACTCCCATTCGTATTAAGGATTGAATTTTATCGATATTAATTCTAACTTTTTCACTAAAATTAGCTTTAAGTTAAATAAACTAGGAATTTAACCCTAATCTTGGTTTAATAGCAAATGAGTTTTATTTTGTTAATTTAGATCTTCTTTTTGTTTTAGGTCTTTCATTTATAGTTATCTATCACTTTAAATTGAATATTGTGGATCATCAACATAAGTTAATATTTTTAGAAAGTGTTTTGTAATTAATTTAGGTAACTTCTAACCTCGTGGTGATTCCAAATGAAAATATCTTAAATTAAAGAGAACAACTAAACTCATAATGCTAATTTTTGGTTTTGGAGTCATTAAAGCTTAGGTCAAAAATTTTGTTGGTTCTTTGGATGTTAATTTGCTATCTAATAATTCTTAGATAATTTCTTATTTCCTAAGAGGAGAAAACTCCTCTTGCCTACTTTGTCTCTTTGTAAGTGGAACAGATGTGATAATATTCTTATAAATCTATCTTCCCAACTGAGGCTTTTAATGTAATGGCTTACGCTATTAGAAAGATTTAATCTTATAATTATCAATTTCCTACCACATCTCTTTACTAAATATGGATTCAGGTTAAAATTAACTAGGGGGTCTGCTTAAGGAAGCTTGCCTGCTGTGAAATGTTGATTAGCTGCCCTCTCAGATTACTTAGTTAAATCTAATTAAATTTGTTAGATTTATTAGGCATTCTATAAACTGGGTATAGATTCATAATGGGTGTCCCTTTTGAATGTTGAAGATTATTTCAGATTTTCTTCTGAAGATAAAAACTAATCAATGATCTTGTTATCTTATGACTAGGCTTTGGATCGAATCTAAAAATTTTCTTTTAAATAATGCCTTCCCGAATTTGTCATAATATTTATCCAGCATCTCTAAAACTTAATCGTACTTCTTAGCTAATTATTAATCAATTTATTATTAAAGTTTCTTACAAAATTGCTAAGAAATTTAAAGTATTATCTAAATTTCATTAAATAGATTCTCAGCTAAACTTGGAGCTATTCCTCTACTGATTGGGTAAAATAATTTTATCTCAAAATAAAGAAATTAAAAGAAATCTTCTTTAGGCATATTAGCACATGCTTAGACAGAATCTATCAATTTTTGGAGACAAATATACAATATTTTCTTAACTATTTAACAAACACATCTCAGTAACAAATGATTTAAGATTAAAACATAGTATAATACTCGTGTTTAATATTCATTAAAAAATGGATAGATTATTATTGTTCTCCTATTAAAAATGTCTAGTAGGACTAAAATATTAAAGATTTAAGTCTTATTAAAATATTTTTAAAATGTTAAAGCTCAGGAAGGATTATTTATTCAAAATAATATAACTGATTCTTCATAGATTTTTATTTAAGCTATTTATTTTTTAAGATAGTCCATTTTAACCACAATTCCATAACTGAATTCGAAATTTGATATTTTAATAAAATAGCTTATACTTTTTCATTTTATCAATGCTTTTTCCATTCATAAGAGTATTTGTAATTTCATTAAGATCTAATAACATTCTTGCAATTAAAACTCTTTACAATTGTTCTGGTTGAACATATTCTATCCTAAGAACCATAAAAATTTCTAATACAAATCATTCAAATCCTAAGTTTTTCCTTTAATTAAGTTTGTAGCTCACACTTTCAAGTTATAGTAATCTTCTTTTTAGAATAAGTGGCTGAAATTTAGGCGTTATAATAAATAGTAATTCATTTATTATTATAATAAAGCATAGAATATTAAATTAAAAAAGAAATCAATGTAAAAAAAGGATAATTAACTTAATATTGTCATCGACTAATATTAGTTGATGTTGAGGATCAAAAATATCAATTTGTTTTTCATGATACTTACCCATCTACTTTATTTTCTATTTTCATCCGTCTAAATAGATTAGTAAGAGAAATCCATTATTTATTAAAAACTGATTAAATTCCATATTAGTTCAAGTTGCCGGGCCCATAGAAATAAAATAATGAATAATTATTATGAAGAGGAGTAATATTTCAGATTATGTTAAAATTTTTTTTTATTTATTCTTCTATTATCAAGACATTTTATTAAGCATTTATGAGTAATTTTATTTTCTGACCAATTAATATGAACAGATATACTTTAAAGATCTTTTGAAAAAGGAAAGAAAATTTAGAAATAAAAAGAATTAATGTAGAGAAAATTTAAATATATTATTTTGTGATTTTGTTTAATGTCTGAGTAGCCTTAACAAGAAGGAACTTAAAATGATTACATTCAATCATTAAGAGAGGAAGAAAACTTCCTCATGATAAAATATAATGAAAAGAGGGAAAACGAAAAGATGCAAATGGAAGAAGCAGCAAAAAAATTTGTGCAAGTTGATCCAATTACTCAAAAAAAGTTTGATAGACCTACAAGAGCAGGTGGTGTTTATGTGCCTCCTCACAAATTGAGAGAAATGGAAAACGAAATAAAAATGAGTAATAAAAATAGCGTTGAATACTAAAGATTAATGTGGGAATTGTTAAGAAAATCAATAAATGGTATTATCAATAAAGTAAATATTACAAACATATAAAATATCATTGTTGAATTATTTAATGAAAATATTTTAAGAGGGAGAGGATTATTAGCAAGGGCAATTATAAAAGCCTAAATGGCATCGCCAAATTTTACTATGGTTTACGCTGCTTTGATCTCTGTTATCAATACTAAATTACCAGAAATTGTTAATTTGATAATAAGAAGAGTGATCGTTTAATTTTAAAGAGCGTACAAAAGAAATAATAAAATAGTGTGTATGGCAATTACAAAAATGATTGCTCATCTTATAAATTAGAAAGTTTTAAGCGACTTAGTGGGATTAGAATTACTTTATATACTTTTAGAGAGTCCCACTGAAGATTCTGTGGAATTGGCCTGTGATTTTACTATAGAATGTGGATAAGTTATGAGTGATATTGCTCCCTAAAATGTTTCCACAATATTCGAAAGATTTAAAGGAATATTGCATGAAGGAACTATAAGCAGAAAAGTTTAATATAGAATTGAGTAACTATTTGCAACTCGTAAAACTAAGTTTGTTGATCATCCAGGAGTTATTCCTGAATTAGATTTAGTTGAGGAAGATGATTAGATTACACATCAAATAGATATAGTTGATGAATTAGATGCTGAGGATAATCTAAATTTATTTTAGTATGATTCATTTTTTGAAAAAACTGAGAATGAATGGGAAGAAATCAAAAAAGAAATTTTGGGAGAAGAGAATATTATTATGTTAAAAACTAAGTAATAGGTTGATTTCATGCCTGAGATAGAAGAAGAATAAGAGTAAGCTAAGGATTTTACAGAAAGAGATCTTTTAAGTTTGAAAAGAGTTATTTATTTAACAATTTAAAGCAGTGTTGATTATGAGGAATGTTTGCATAAAATAATTAAAATGTAAACAGGAATTGGTCATGAAGATGAAGTTTGCAATATGATTATTGATTGTTGTATGCAAGAGAGAACATATTTAAGGTTTTTTGGACTTTTGGGATAGAGATTATGTGAAATTGCTGAAATCTTTAGAGATAATTTTATGAAATGTTTTGTAGAGAAATATGCAACAATGCATCGTTATGAAACAGCAAAAATCAGAAATATTTCTAAATTCTTTGCTCATCTCTTTTTTACAAATGCTATTGATTGGAGAATTCTAAAATGTATTTCATTAACTTAAGAAAGTACTACCTCCTCAGGTAGAATTATGATTAAATGTTTATTCTTGGAATTAGCTGAGAATATGAGCTTACCTGTATTAAAGTCAAAATTGATGGATCCTGAACTTAAAGATTATCTAGCTGGTCTATTTCCAGTTGATCATCCTAAGAATACAAGATTTTCAATTAACTTTTTCACTAGTATTGGATAAGGGTTATTAACAGAAGAGTTAAGATAGATATATGAATAATAAAACAAAATAGAATTTTAACATGCTCAAGAAGTAACTATTGCATTCTAATTTTTAGGCTTTAAAATAATTCGGTACCTCTGCTGAAGAAGATAGCGAAAGTGATGAAAGTGACAGCAGTGAGGATTCATCTTCAGATGATAGTAGTGATAGTGATTCATCAAAAGATAAATAAAAAAAGAATCAATAAGATAAAAAAAGAAAAGAAGATGAAGCTCCTGTTAAAGAAAAACCAAAAGAAAAAGAAAGAGGAAAATAAAAAGAAAAGGAGAAGCAAAAAGAGATGGATAGAGAAAGAGAGAAGGATAAAGAAAGAGAAAAAGAAAGAGAAAGGGAGAAGGAAAAAGAAAGGGAGAAAAAAAGAGAAAAAGAAAAAGAGAGAGAAAGGGAAAAAGAGAGGGAAAGAGAAAAAGAAAGAGAAAGAGAAAAAGAAAGAGAAAGAGAGAAGGAAAGAGAAAAATAAAAAGAAAGGGAGAGAGAAAAGTAAAAGGAAAAAAAACTAGAAAAAGAGAGAGAAAGAGAAAGAGAAAGAGAGAAGGAAAAAAAATAAAAAGAAAAAAGGGATCAGAAAAAAAAATACAAAAGTCCAAGTCCTAGCCAAAGTGACAGTTTAAGTGATAGTAGAAGCAGAAGTAGGAGTCGAAGTGCAAGTGTTAGTAGCAGCTAAAGTAGTAGCAGTAGCAGTGAAAGTAAACCTTAGCATAAAAAACACAAATGAATTTATTAGCTAAATTATTTTATATTTGACAATATTCTACCATTATAGTATGATTTGGTTGATCAATTTCTTATCTGTGGTTTCAAGCTAATCTATTCTTTATGTTAATACAAAGGAAATGTGATTTAAAAGAAATTTAATAAAGTTGTAATTAAAACTTCAACTTAAAAATCATTAAGAGGTTTTTAATCTAAAGGTAGATAAAGTAGGGAAAATATCTAAATAATATATTGAGTAATACTTGATGATCCAAAAAATTTTGCCATTTAGGAATCTGTTCTAAGATTATATTTAGGTGTAACCATTCTCGTTTGTTTATTACTTCTTTATTAAATCAATGTCTAGATATTTTCCTGCTTTGCCTCATGAATTTAATGTAATTGGCTCATTGGGAGACTACTCAAGATTTTATTTAGGGTATAATTTGCTCTATTAAAAGATCCTGATGAGATCTAATTGCTTATTTCTTTGTACTATATACCTCTCCAATTATGCAGTTTAAAACCTACTCATCGAAAAGGGCTTTCTTTTTATTATTTTCTATTGTTATCTTTTTAGATATGCTAAACTATTATGTAAGAGTACTCTTAGATGAATTATTGTTTTGATTAACATTTGGTTAATTGAATTCTTGATGAATTTCAGTTTTCTTTTAATTCTTTCGATGCAATAGCTCAAAATATTATGGAATACGAAATTAAGTAAGTTGTTAAAATGATTAACTATAAGGTTTAGGTAAGTTGGAGTAATCCAAATATTTGCCATCTTCTTATAATATTTTTTTATTTGCTTCAATTAATTCAGCATAGGGCGAACTAGGTTTTTTTCTCATAATAATAATTTATTATTATGATAAAAAGTTTAGTTAAATGTATAAATAGTAAATTTATAATAAAAAAATAAATATGATCATCCATTCGACTTAATTAAATAGTAATTATAATCTAAAGGATATATTTCAAACTCTTATTTGAATACAAACGCAAAAACACCAGCTTCATAAAATAACTTGATATAAATTTGGAGCCCAGTAGAAATGGATTGAAATGGCAATCAAAAATTAAAAATTCTTTATGTTTTCTCAAAAACTTTAAAGGAATTAAGAATATTAAAGAAGGCTCCTGGATTATGCGGATATTTGACGAGCAGTCTATTAAATATTAATATTGTATGAAAAATTAAGAAAATGCCTTATTAAATTATTATATTTTGAAAGCAAAAAATTAATATGAGATATTGCATACATCCTTTAACAATTGAGAGAAATATCTATGTCATCTTGATAAGAGCTGATTAATAGCATGTTTAAAGTATAATTGATTGCGAAATAAAATATGTTAATTTAACAGAAGTATATATTATGTTTCTGCCGAAATAACTGAATCTACTCCAGAAATGGCATAATTAACTTCAAAAGTTGAATGATTGGCTTCAGATATCGAGGATAAAAAATATAACTGGGTATTTTAAATGAACAAGAAAATTAATAGCTGAATAAAGACCTAACGATGCTGATTATTTATAAAATTCAAGCATGAAGCTGAAAATGTGATAAACTAAGTAGATATGCAATTATAGAGTTTTTCTCCTTCTATATAATTATTGAATTTTAAGAATACTGTTTATAATAAAACCTTTGTTCATAAAAGCATTAATGTAAGTGGCATTAACCCTCGCAAATGATCAATTCAATAATGTCTTATATAAATTAAGCAAATTAAGTAAATCTTTGGAATAAAGTCTACATGAAGCCAGATAATCTGAAATTGAAGCTTACTTAAATTATAAAAGATTTAAGGCTGAAATAAAAATGAAAAAATGACTGTCATCATTTAAAGATGATTCTGAAAGCTTAATTAAAGGTAATGAATAACCACTGGATCTTTAAAAAAGAAAGGAAGATGCTTCTGATAAATTAAATGCTGCAACTGCTGGCAAAGAATAAAAAGAAGATATGAAGGACATAATATGCTTTTAATTCTGAATATTGCTAATTAGAAATTTCAATTATATGATAAATTTCAAGTAATAATAACAGCTAAACTCAAAGCTTCAAAGTGTACTTATTAGAAAGATCTTCTAAATGATAATTTGCTTATTTTACTTAAAATATTTTTATCATTTCTTCAATTAAGATGGGAAATAATAGTTTCCTAATTAATATTTATTATGAAATTATGATGCCTAATTTAATTGTATGTTTTTTTGTGTTTCCATCATTTATTTATTAGTAAATGGAATAATTTAATTATAGTTTTTATAATGTTATAGATATACTATTAATTAAATGGAATAATAAAATGATGTTGTAACTTTGGATTAATAATAAGGATTGAACGAATAAGTTGATGAGACTTCAACTCAAATTGAGCCAACAGAATAAACTATTACTGAAAACCCTGAAAAAACTGAGACCATTCCAATGATCGATCCAATAATAGATTAAAACTCAGATCAACCTTCAAACTAGGATAATAAAACAGAAGAATCAAATGATCCTTCGAATGCAAATCCATTATACACTTATTCGATTTTGGCAAAAGAGTTTATTTTGTTTAGCCTTCCTTATTTATATTTTATATTTGCTGCTCTTTATAGGATTTATTAGCTTTAGAAATTGCAAGATGTTACACTACAAAGATAATCCATAAGATCTCAATTAAGTGATGAGGATGTGTAATTATTGAATATATTTAAATTAGCCCAAAAACAAACCCTCCATCTTTGAATATCAAAATTATCATTTCATATTGGCTTTGTTTTGTGTGTACTTTATCAATGACACTTGGATTTTTCGGTCTAATTATGACCATATCACCAAAACTGTACTTCATTTGGCTGATACCAATTGTTGCTCATATTATTTCTGTTATTTTGCTAAAATTAGAGTTCAAAGTTTAAGAATAACAGGCAACGTGGACTCATAGAGTAATAGTATATCAACTATCAACTAGATATTTTGGCCTTTATAAACTGCATTTTTGGTTGTTAGAACATCATAAGAATATCAGACTCTTTTGAGTAGTGGATTGATAATTTTGTAATTGTTCCCATCGCTCATTTTATTGATATATGCATTGTATAGACCAAATGATAGAACAAGAATACCTGATGACACACCAAAATTTGCAAAATAATTGATGAAATCATTAGAAGAATTAAGAATATTTTAATCAGGAATTAAATCAAATAGAGAATCTATGCTAAACAGAACTAAAACAAAAAAAGAAAACACTACTATAACAAAATAATTATCATCAGCATTTTCTGATCTCATATAAAGCAAAAATCAAAATGAATAGGAGCAATTTTTAAGGGAAAAAATGCCAGAAAGGAGTGTTAGTGTGAGTAAAAAAATAATTAAACGCTTTGTTAATGATAATGAAATCCTTTATTCATATTTGATTATTACTATAATCGATGGTCATACATTTTAATCAGAAAAGCGTTACCCTGAATTTTTGAATATTGAGAGAGTACAAATCGATAATTTTAACAAATACAATGCAAGTTCCTTTAAAATTCAAAGAATAGATCTATAATTAGGCGAAGATGAATTTTCTTATGTTCTAAGAAGGAGAGAATATTTAGAACGATGGCTATAAGAATAATTAGCCAACCCAACTTATGTAACAAAAAATTTACTTGATTTCTTGGGAGTGGATGAAGAAATGCAACAACCATTTTTAATATATTAATAATTGATTTCAAAGACGAGATCTTAGATGAGACCCAAAAGTTATTAAAAAGCTTAAGAATATGAATTATAAGCTCTCAGAGTAAATTCAGAAGAAAACTTGGTTGCCTTAGATTATTCTGAGCTTCAATTCTCTTCTAATTGTGTCTAGTATGAGTATGGTATGTATGGATCAAATTCAATAGAATTTGTTATTAATATCAAATACAAAGAAAAGTAAACATATTTATAAGTAATGTTAGGAGCAAAGAACATGTTTATAGAATCTTGAAAACATTGTCTTGTATTCGATAATTTAGTGAGTAACTTGAATTATAAAGTGGTAGAGCATTGCCGCCTAATTTAAAAATAACAAAATAAATTTTAAATCTAACAACAAATGAAAAAATAATATTTGTGGATGAATTTTTTAAAGAATTATTAGGAAATCACGAATACTTTTCAAGCGAATTTTTTGATTTTATAGGATTTGATATTAATAATAGATGTCCAAAAGAATAAAGTTGATGAATTTTTATAATATTAAATTATTTATAATTATAATAATACATAACTAAATGAAAGATCCTTAAACTTATTATAATAATAACAATTTTTATGATAAAATTATATATAGATTGGATTTCACAGCCATCTAGAGCTGTTAAGGCAGTCTTAGATATCCTCAAAGTTCCTCATGAAGTTAAGGCTTTAAAGATTTAATTTGATGAGCATAAGTCACCTGAATTCACAGCAATACATCCATTATAATAATGTATTGAAGTTAAAATAATTGATAGTGCCTGTTTTACAAGATGGAGATTTTACTGTTGCTGAAAGCCACAATATAATGAAATACATTATCAAATAGAGAAATATATCTACTAACTTGTAAGTCTCTAAAAAATAATAAGATACCCACTTTCAGACATCAGATAATAAACTAGAATAGATTAATATCTCGACTATCATCATACAAATACAAGAAAATGTTTACACTTGTACCACTCAGTGCTTATATCGCCATTAAAGGGGGAGAAGGTTATTCCTGAAGTACTGGAAAAGGAAAAACAAGATGTGGCAAAAGTGTTTTCTTATTTTGAAAACAGTAAGTATTATAAAACATATTTAGATTGGCTGAAAGGTAGGAATTACATTTGTGGTGATTAAGTGACTCTAGCTGATATAAGTGCTTGTAGCGAAATGCTGTAATTAGACATGATTAAATTTGATTTCTAAAAATATCCAATTACAAATGCTTGGCTTAATAGAGTAATAAGGATTCCAGAGGTTTATCAAGCTCACAATGTTGCTTTCAAGGTTATCAAAAAATAGAATCCGAGTTCTTAATTCTTGAAATGAATTAAAATACATATATATATATATAGAATATCAAGTTTGTATTAATATATAATTAAAGCATATTGATGTATATGTTATCAAAAGATTGAGCAACAGCATTTTTCTTCGTTTGAAGGCTTTGAGTCTTTTTATATGGTACTTGTAACGTTTTGCAAGGTTTAATTTTATGATTTTAAGACTTTGCCTTTAATGGCTTTTTTTATTGCTAAGTCAAATATTTCCTTCAAACCATCTTATGTTAATGCAGAACATTCTAGATATTGCGATGGCAATTTATCAACTTTTGATTTTGCCTAAGGGGTGAATTAAATTGAATATTACAGCTTCAAATTAGACATGATTTGGATTGGCTTAGTTTCTCATATCTATCTTATTTCCAACAAAAATTTTTGGTACACTCTTTAATTCAGGAACCTCTAATTCTGGGTACCACTTGCTGATTGCATTTTCAAAACTAGATTCCTCAATAACTGAGAAAACAACCAAAAAGACATCAGCTGAATTATAGGATAGTGTTCTTAATCTATTATATGTTTCTTATCCAGCAGTATCCCACAAACTTAAGTTAATCATTTTGCCATCAACAGCTGTCTGAGTGGTATAATTTTCAAAAACTGTAGGAACATAGTCTGATGGAAATTTATCAGTTGTATAGCTATGGATTGTTAGTGGAAATACCTGAGGAGTATACAAGTCTTGCCTACATTTCCATCGCCTACAACGACAAGTTTAATTGTGATAGGATCTAATTCTGACATCACTCAAAATATTTATTTAATTATTGGAAGTAGAAAGGAATATTTAATGTAATTTAATAATGAATTCATTTACTTTTATTGAATGAATAATATCAAAATGCTCCCTTGAGTTAAGATTTAACGTAATCGGTAAACCTTGGTTGATTCAATAAATCCAAGGCTTAGTGAGCAGCATTTAATTCCTTGTTGTATTCAGCAACGGTAGCATTGTAGACATCAGTTGCGAAAGCATAGTCATCATTTTCTGCTTATAATTATCCATTCAATGTGTCCAAATCAGCATGTAAGGTATCAATTAAATCAAGGGTTTATTCAATCTTGTCTATTAATTATTACTATTAACAATATACTTGCATTGGCTTCGATTTCAGCTGTCTTAACTATAACAGCTCTTTAGAATTCAGCATGTTCTTAGTTTAATTGAATGACTCTGGCTTCAAAGTCCTTTTAGGCTTCAGCTTCATCAGCAGTGAGTTGGTTGAGTGAGTCAACTAATTGAACTCTCAAGTTGTTGAAGGCAGTCAAAATCTATGAAAGGGTTAACAAGGGATACATACTTCTCTAAGGGCACCTTGATCAGCGAAATTAGCTTCAACAGCAATTTCCAAAAGAGTCTTGATGAAAGTTTGGAATGTGCTGTGTCTTTTGAGTGATTATTAGATTTTGGTCAAATTCTTTTAGACCTTTTAGATTTAGACAAGGGATGGTGATTCCAATTGGCTGAGTAATTATAATGATTCATCAATGGCTCCAATGGCTTCATTGTGTTCAGCAACTTAAGCTTCAAATTCAGCGTGGTCCTTAGCTCTTTGAACTGTTGATTCATTAAGGGTCTTTCTGTTTTGAGCAATGTTTTCTTATAATTATTCAAGTTGAGCAGCAAATCTATCTCTTTATGGGATCAATACGTTATCATAGAAATCGTGGGCATGAAAGACCTCTAAAGGAAAGGTTTAAATCTAATAAAATACCTCTTTCTTTATCTTAGATTTCTTATTCAAGTCTTGAAACTTCTCTGTTGTGAATGTCTGTTCTTCTTGCATATTAATGATGGACTTCTGCTAATTCCTCATCCAATTCGTCAATCTAAACGAATTAATGAAAAAAGTAATTACAAGTTTAGCAATTTCAGTGTTTAATTCTGAAAGGATACCTCCTGTACTTAAATGGAGTTCACCAAAGTTCAAAATGAAATTACCCCAACCAGATTGTTTAATTTGAGCAAAAGCTTTTTGGTCATGGCTTGTCCAAACTGAGTTTGTGACATCAATTGCTGTTACGCTAAGGATAAGCAATGTGCAGACTGCTAATTTATACATATATTGTAATTAATAATGAAGCCAACACCAGATAATTAAGTGTTAAAAATTCCAAAAACGAATTTTATTTTTTATATATTTATATTAATATCATACTAGCAAGCCAGCTCATAATAATATTAATATAATTAAAAAAATATATAAATAAAGTCAGAGAAGATGTATCTTTTCAATTAAAAGACTTTAATTGTACTGGTTGATGTACATAATGCTCTGTAGATTTTTATTGAGACCAACCTCCTTCGATTATGTTTTTTTGACTTCAGAGAACTATACAACATATAATCATTCAGCAATACCTGTCCAATTAATAGAAGTCCATTATTGTTTACATAATTTCCAAATCCCATAATTAGACCCTTTTGAAATTATCCTTAATAATAACTTCCATCACTCCAATGAAATGTTCCATCGCCTTAAAATTAGTTATTTTCGAAAGATCCTTCATACCTACAATTAGATATAAGAAATGTAATACTTGCATCCATCTGGGAACACTTGAATCCCTCTGCCATTTTTCTTGCCGTTATGAAATTATCCATAAAATCTTGTTCCATCATTCTTAATTTCCTATGCCTCTCCTTCCAACTGATTATTGATCCAAATTCCTAAAAATAAGACCTTATTTTACCTTTAACTATTTTTTTTTCCGATATAAATATACCAAAACCATTTGTCCGGCCATTTTAGAACTGAGCTTCGAAACTATATTATTTTGATATTTAATACATGTCTCCATTTCTATAATGCATTGTACAGAATCCTTGAAGCAAATCGTTTTACCAAGTCCTACAATAAAATATAAATTGTTTGTTACCCAAATAATAAATTGCCAACTTATGGCCATACTTAAATACCATTCCCATGTTTGATTCCTGACTCCAATGTGCCGAAGTATACACTTTCGTCACTTTATTTTGAAACCTAATAGTCTGAGTGAGGTTTGAAATTTTCTAATTTTTGTTTAATGTGTTAAGGAAGAGCGCTCACAAACTCCAATAATCGAGAGTCTAAAGCTGGACTGCTTTGTTTGGAATAGTCATCATCAGCTAATCAAATGTAAATAGCCTATTACTTTCGCTCAATGAGATAGATGCAAACTTATGAATGAAATATTCTTATGATATCTATTAATTCATTTATATTTAATTATTGAGATATAATTACTAATGGAAAAGTTAAAACCTACTCTTAAATTAATTTAATTAAATAAGAATACAAAGGAAATGTCTCTTTAAAGAGTTTTTAAGAAATTAATATATTGGGATGTCTACTTATCGCGATTTCTGAATGACAATGAAAGCTTAATTTTAACCGTGATGCTATATTTACCATCCTTGATTTTTTCGCCTAAAACCCTTATCGCCCCAATATTCTTTATCGCTTATTAATACGGCTACACTTATTCTATTAGATATGTGATTTCAATAGTTCTGTCACTAATTTTGACTACCTTCTTTAAAAACCATTTCAAAAGACCAAGACCCAAGCCTCGTCCATAACTATCTATAGCTTTCGGTTATAAGGAAGGCAATTATTCCTTGCCAAGTGGAGGTTGTGCTTAAGCTGCAACCTTCCTCTTTTATTTTCTGAATGCAAATGGAAGTGGTATATTTTGTTATGTAAGTATTTTAGTAGACATCTTTGACATCTTGATTGCAATTCATATAATTTTTAATGTAATGTTAGGTAGAGTGTATTTTTGTTGCCACTACTTCAGTGATTGTCATCTTGGATTTGTAATAGGAACCACGAGTGCCTTCTTGATTAACTTTTTATTATAATGAAATGGACGTGTGTTGTATACAAGATTATTCAATTAATATTATATATATGAATATAGTTGAGTACAGAAAGCATCGGAATGAAAACTAAATCAGAACTTGTTGTTGCAAAAGAAGAGCCCCTTGGGAATTACAACCAGATAGAAAAGTATAACAAGTGTTTAAATTCTTAGATTCTGATTGGTACCGCAGATAAAAATATTCCCAATAATAGAGTCGAGACTTCTAAGTATAATATGCTCACATTCTTACCCAAAAACTCATTGGAATAATTTAGGAAGGCATCCAATTTGTATTTTTTGCTTCTAGGCATCTTGTAATCAGTTTGAATTCAATTTAGTCAAATCCTACCTCCAGTCACCACTACCGATGGACAACCCACTGTTTATTTACCTCTGTCATTCATCATTATGGTCAGCATGATCAAAGATTTTTTTGAAGACTTTAAAAGGTACCTCAATCATCACCATTAGACACCGAGCAGATGATGAAGAAAACAATCGAACAGTATAAAAATATTCACTTCGAACAGGAGTCTTTGAGTATGACAAATGGTAGAATGTGTATGTTGGAGACATTATCAGAATTGCAAATAAATAGGTTTGATTTTAACTTAAGAGTAGAGAATTCCTGCTGATATTATTATCTTAGCTACTTCTAAGGGAGGAGAATGCTTTGTAGAAACTAAGAATTTAGACGGTGAAACCAATCTCAAACCCAAATATGCGCATCCATAATTGCAAACCTTATACAAATAATTAAATGAAAAAGAGTTACCTTATAATTTGTATCTTTCAAATAAAATATCTTAGATTTGTAACAATGGATTTTGAACGATAAAATCCTTTAATGTATAAATTTAAGGGTAGCTTCAATATTGTTAATGAAAATAAGGAATTACCAAAGGAAGCATTGAATTATGAGAACTTCTTAGAAAGAGGGTGTTCTCTCTAGAATACTGACTGGATTTTGGCAGTTACTGTATATACAGGACATGACACCAAGATTATGATGAACTCTATTATAGGAAAGATGAAATATAGCACGGTTGAGAAATTGATGAGTAAGTAGATCTTATGGGTGTTCTTATTTTTGTTGTTTGAATGTATTTTTGCATCAACTTATTATAATGTATGGTACCAAAGAAACATGAATGAATTACAATATTATTTGAATATTGATAAAAATGCTCCAGAAAACAATACCTTTTACAATTTTGTCTTAAGATTTGCAATGTGGTTTTTATTATTAGGTAATAGTGTCCCAATTTCATTATTGGTTACTTTAGAAACAGTCAAGTTCTTTTAAGCATAAATGATTTAATGGGATAAGAATTATCTAACACTTGATCGTCCTGCTGCAGTTCATTCCTCAAATTTAAGTGAAGAATTGGGAGTTATTGAATATATATTTAGTGATAAAACGGGAACTTTGACATAGAACGTTATGAAATTTAAATCTATTATTATTGATGAAGTTGTTTATGGGGATATAGAGGAATAAAACTAAAATTAATAAGATATAATAGATGAAAAACCATTTAAAGAAAAGCATAGAATTGTATCTTAAAATGTTGATTTTACAGATGACACCTTATACTCTGAATTGATTTCTGAATTTATGAATAAAAAATAAGCAAAGAATTTCACAAACAATGACCATGTATTCCTAAGTCTCCTCTGTTTATCTTTGTGTCATACAATTTAAACAGAATTGGTTGAGAATATTGAATCTGAGATTTAATATAACGCTAGTTCTCCAGATGAATTAGCATTGGTTAGTTTTGCAGCTGAGATGGGATTTAAATATATTGGAAAAGAAGAAAATGTGATGAAAGTTTACATAAAACATTCAAAGGAAACCTTAAAGTTTTAAATTTAATAGGTTATTGAGTTTAATAGTACGAGAAAGAGAATGTCAATAGTTTTAAAAGATCAAAATGGAAGATTGACTTTGTTTTGTAAAGGAGCAGATAATGTTATTTTATCTATGTTATAAGATTTTGAGGAAAACGATACTATTTAGAAAAACATCTTATTTGAAATAAAAAAGCAATTGCAAGAGTATGCTACTATTGGACTAAGAACTCTAGTTTTGGGATACAAGGAATTAGAGTAAAAAGAATATGAAAAGTTTTTATCTGAATATAATAGAGCATAATCCATTTTAGATGATGATTAATTGAGAGAGTCACTGATGAATCAATTAGAGGAAATGATTGAAAATAATCTATAATTACTATGTGCAACAGCCATCGAAGATAAATTATAAGATAAAGTCGGAGAAGTAATTGCTGATTTAAAATCTGCTGGAATTAATGTATGGGTTTTGACTGGAGATAAGATAGAAACAGCTATTAATATTGGATTTTCATGTAAATTACTTACGGATTAAGTGAAAAGATTTATTATAGATGGAGATTAAGAAGGATAGGTTGAAAGACAATTAGCCAAAGTTACTAATAGCATTAATGAACATCCTGAAGAACCTCTATCGTTGATAGTATCAGGAGTGGCTCTTGTTATTATCATACATAATTTTAAAGAAGCATTTTTTAAGGTAGCTTTGAAAGCAAATGCTGTTATGGCTTGTAGGGTATCTCCGAAACAAAAATAAGAAATTGTGAATTTGGTTAGGAGATTGACTGGTAAAATAACATTAGCTATTGGAGATGGTGCAAATGATGTCGCTATGATCACTTAGGCCCATGTTGGTATAGGAATTAGAGGCTTAGAAGGGTAGTAGGCAGCAAAGGCAAGTGATTATGCTATAGGAGAATTTAAACATTTAAGAAGGTTGCTGTTTTATTCAGGACACGAATCTTATAGGAAGAACAGTAATTTAATTCTATTTAACTTTTACAAGAATTAATTATATATTGGAGCATTTTTCTTTTTTGGCTTTTCAAATGGATTTAGTGGGTAAAATCTATATGATTAATGGCTTTCATAAATTTTCAATGTATTCTTCACAAGTTTACCTATTATTCTATATGCATTATTTGATGAGAAATATCCAAACTCAAATTATATGCAATTGGTTTAGGATAAGGCTAATTTCTTAGAATCCAGACCTGATATTTATAGGGAGTATTTGACAAAGCCCATATTTAACTTAGTGTCCTTTTGGCAATAATTCTTTTGGGGGTTGTTGTAAGCTATATTGTTAATGGTAATTTCATTTTATGCATTTGAACCTATTTCACCACATATTCATGGATAGAATTCGACTTATTTAGAAGCTGGAATGACAATAATGAGTGCAGTTGTTATTATTGTAAATGTTAAAGTGCTACTTCTACACAATACTGTAAATATAATCATACTTATAATTTATAGAATTATCCTATTATAGTCTACATTAATATTGGATCAACCACCTGCTTTATATTATTTTTCTTCCTTTTCTCGCAATACCCCTTTTTTGAAAGTTTTGATCTCTTTCAAAGATTGTATGAGTGCTTTAATTACTATATGGCAATTATATTAATGTTGACTGTAACCAACTTCTTTGATCTTGGGAGACAAAGATATAATTACTTTGTTGATTAACTAAGAGAACATCAGTAAAACAACCCACCAACTTAATTAGAAATTGAAATGTGATATATATATATAAATTATATTTTTAATGAACGATCATGAAAGTAGTGATTCTAGCAGTGATGAATTTTATGAGAAAATTAAAGCTCAAGTAAGTAGCAATTCTAAATTAAGTTAAATATCATGGATGATGAAGAGAGGAGTTCAAGAATTGTAAGCAGAAATGAAGTATTACCAAAAGTTGCATTTGTTCCTCCAGAATCCAAAGAACAAAGGGAATTCAATTTCAATTATAAAAATTCAGATCGAATTCAACTGATTGGCAAAATTGAATCCCTAACTAAGGAAAACATTATCATTTATTCCAATCTTTTGGAATTTGTCATCAATTTAGATTAATTAATAGTTAATGGCTAATAAGAGATCTTAGGAAAAGTTGATGATGTTTTTGGGAAAGTTGAAAGACCACATTATTCAATTTTGTTGGATGGATATGTGAACAACCTAGTTTAAACTAATTAACTAAAAATTGGCGATGATGTCTTTATTAATATTGATAGCACTTCAGTTCTTAATCCTGATGCTATCAAGTAATTACTTAAGTAATTTTAAATGTTATCAAAAGCAAAAAAGGCTGCGATGCTTCTAATTAATTTGATGAAGAAGTTCTTAATGATTGTGATGTTGAGTATTCAGATGACGAGATCGAAGCTGTGTCTAAAAAGAGAGGAAACAAAGAAGAAGGAGAAGTGAAGAAGAATCATAAAAAAAACAAAGAAAAGCATCCTAACTAATAAAAGCATGATAAATAATTACCATTTCCTTAATAAAAATTTAAAGCTTAGGGTAATAACCCGTAAACATAATAATAACAATAATAAATGATGTAAATGTAGCATTCTATGCAGTAATAGCAATACTATTAATAAATGTTTCTTTAATAGCAGATGTAATTGTAAATGTAATAATAATAATAATATTAATAACTAATATCTAATTAGTAGGCTTTTCCATAATAATAAATGCAATAGCCTTAATACATGTAACAAATATATCAGTAACCTTAATAATTATAGCCAAACCCTCAATTAAATCTCCCTTACAATACATAATAAATTAATTAATAACTAAATTAGAACTTGAATTCCCTTTTCTAAAATATTAAACCATAAGATTAATGATTAAGTTTTTGTATATAATTTATTATTATAATTTTTAATAATTTGCGATCATCTTGAGACTATTTATATTTCAAAATTATCATATTAAATAAATATACACATTGATATATTCATTTCTCAAAGTATGCTCTTAAGAGATATTCAGTAATTTGTTAGACAGATTTATTTGTATCATAAACAAATCTATCTAAAATGTCTTTAAAAGTGGAACTTTGCATTTGGATATATTTTTAATACTTATCGATCTCAGTACATTAAAATAAGGATAAAGCAATGCAATTTAAAGCTGCATAGTTCATGGTCGTGGATATATCCTACCTTAGAATCTCAAATAGCATATCTAATAAATGATATTAGTCCATAAGCTGCAAAAAATGTTATCTTTTGCGTAGTACTATTTCTAGAAGTTTTAGTATTTCAATTTATCCATCTATGAAAGTATTTTTAAGTAGTTTGACTAAATCATCATTTATAAATTTAAAGTAAGTGTCATTTTCTTCAAAAATCATGAACAATAATTTAGTAGACCTAACCATAGTTTTTTCGTGTCTATACAGATTGCTTTGAAGAACAAACATTAATTCTGAAGTTACAATTTATTCATAGTACATTTTTTCAATTGCATTTTAAACTAAATAATGTATTGCTAGTAATAACTAATCACAACAAAAGACTTCGGAGTTGGGTTGCTTTAGAAAATGCAATAAGCATTTCCAAGGCTTCCTATCCTCAGAATTAGCTGAATTGAGAGCTTCCCAATAAAATTAATTAGCTTATGGATATTTTTGAATTAAGTGTGGGAGAATGCGAATTTACATTTAAGTAGTGCTATTTCTGCATTAAATCAATTCTTCGCAACAGATCAAAAACACTTGTTTCAGAAATGGAAAAGGAGTGTGTGCTGAATTTGAAAGAATAAGCATAAATTCCCAATATAGCTTTTCTATGTTCTTCAAATAAATTGCCGCTAGATATAGGTTTAAATATTAAGTTAGTCTCTCTTTTTAATATCTGATCAGAGAAGATATGCTTAATTACTGTTGGTTCAATGCATAAATTGCACATTAAGCTCAAAACACAAATTAAGGTCTAAAGTCATTGTGTTTCAGTGTTTTGTAAATATCATGATCTATAATGTAGACACTGTATTTTGCACTTAATTGCTATACCAATTATATGAGTTTTTCTAAGTTTTAGTTGTCTGGATTTTGAAGAATAAGCTAAATCTGATTCTCAATTTGATCTTTGTATTTAAGTTCAAAATCGATTAAATTGTTGCATTCATTTAGATCCATGAATTAAATTGCACTTTTCAAATCTCTTCTTGCTGAATTCTTTTTCTAGATTTTACTTACGAATTTCTGTTCTAAATTATTCTCTTCTTTTAACTATTATATCACTCATTAATTATAAAACTCATATTAAAATCAAATATTTAATAACATCAAATATAAAAACTTAGACATAATTCAGAAGTAGTGTGTCAGAAATTTTATGATTCATTTTTAGATTTTGAATTCTTATATGTTTTAAATGATTTTCCTTTATTCTTATTTGATGTTATTAAGCCGAATAAAATAAGGACCAAAAATTTTGTTAAAATACATATATAATGGAATTTTATAGAATTAAAATAACAAAATTGGCATATTAAATATATAAAATATAATTAATTTGTTAAAATACATAAGGAATGTAGTATGAAATCAAGATAATGGGTTATGAGAATACGACAGACAATGTTTTATATAGAATTCGCATTATCGATCTTTTTACACTTGATTAGAGAGAAATTAGAGTTAGATATAGTCTCTTGCTTGACCTTCATAATGCCATGCAAGAATACAATATAAATTATTAAGTAACTATTATCTAAATCTAGCTTCCTCAATTTCCAAAAAAGGAATACTTAAAGACATTGTTTGGAGAAAATAAAGTGATCAAGCAACGTGAATAAAAAATAGGGGAATATTTTCAATAGCTTCTTAAATGTCCTCCTCCTAATCATAAATTATTGCTTGATTTTCTTAGAGAAGGGGTTGATACTATTAGACAATAGGAATTATTAAAGGAAGTCAACTCTAAAGCTGAGATACTCAAATATTTAAAGGATGAAAAGTTGCTAAAAAGGGGACAATTTGGAAAAACAACTTTATATAGCATAAACGGAAAAAAAATAATTCTGCATAAGTTTTATGTCATTTAGCAACAAAGTGATTAACTGTTTTCATTTTATATGAAGGCTCATTTAAATATTTTAGAACACAGCTTGTTTACTCAAGTGCATTCTGTATTCTATATACGACCCAAAGCTAACTTTGTTGACTCTATGCTTGGCTAAGTGAAATAGCCAAAAGTTAGCAAAAAACCCAATATTTTTACTAATTTATATCCCCAATATATAAGAGGAGAGGCAGTGAAGATATTCTCATTTGAAGAATATGAGGGATAAAATCTAAACGAAGTGATTAAAGATCGAAAAACTAAAAATAAGCCTTTTACTTTAGATGAGCTCTTAAATATTATATAGAAAATCCTCCAAGCGATTATTTAATTACATAAGCGCAACATTTTTCCTAACAGAATTTTACCCACTTCCATTATCATCAACAATGAGAGTGTTAAATTGGCTAGTATTTAAGAACCTAATGCCAAATATAAGGAAAAATAGTTGTTGGAAGGACATGCCAATAATAGTGAGTAAAGTTATGATATTGTTTATTATCCTCCTGAAAAATTGAGTTAATAGTTTTCATAATAAATAAATGGAAAGTTGATAGATAGTTGGCATTTTGGAGTTTGTATATTAATGGCAGCTTTGCTCTATACAAATAAAGAATTGGAAGGAATTCATTCATCTTATTAAGTTGATAAATTTGCTAATCAAGTGTAGTTGTTATATGGGTATATTTAATAAATTTAATATAGGTAAGTGATGTAATAGCAGAAATAATTATGCTGAGTCTAAAACAATAATCACACTAAAGAGCAGATATTAGGGAATTGTATTTTTTGGCCAATTAAACAGCAATTATCAAATTTCAATCAAACGTTTTGAATCAGTAAGAGAAATCTTAAATTACATACTTAACAATTAATAACATAACATAAGAGCAGTTAGACAATCTTGAATAGCTCATTCAAAAGTCTCCAATTTTATCAGTTAAAATAAATCTATATAAATAATAAATAGATTAATAGGAATTAGATAAATTATTACAAATACTGGGTAATTTTGCTGAAGTAAAGTATATTTCAATGATTTTAAATAAGTAAGAATAGAATTAAATGATTAGAACATAAAATTTAAATTTTGGAAACCTGTGTGTTGGTTTATAAAAATTAAGGCAATTGAAACGTATCTCATTGGATTTGAAGGGAATCAATTTAGAAAAAGAAGAAATTGACTAGGCATTAAAAACATTTAAATAAATGGATTCAATTGAAAGATTTATATTGGATTGTTCATCTATGGAATTTATTAATAGTTTGAAATCAGAATTGAAATTAGAGAGTAATTTAGTTTTGTATTTTGAATCATAATTAATTTGATTAATTTCATAACATATCAGCAGGTTATTTAGCAGCATTCCTTAATTTTTTTCTATTTTTAATGGAATTCAACATTTAACTTGCTTATCTCATAGTATCCACGATATTGACAATCTAAATATAAAAATAGATAATTACATCTTTAGAAATACGTTCAATCTTTTTAGATTCTTCTTCCTCATCCTACTTAATATTTTGTAATTCTCTAGCTTTATTGAATGGAAACCATGTTAGATCTTTCTTCTATATTTTTTCCCAAACAAATTACTCAATTCCAGTATAATCTGTGGGATCTTTGTATTTGAGATAAGCCATAAAGAAAACATAATTCCACATATAATGATTAACTTTAATGTGATGATCAAAACCTCCGCCCATTGAAGCTGTATCTGTTAATCTATCAAACGTAGTTTTAAGATTTCCACAAATAAAACATTTATCTTCAATATCCCTAACCTTATCACTTTCCTCCTCTCTTAAAGACCCGAATGTATCAATAATAATACCTGCCACGATATTAACCATGATAATAACTAAGAAAATATTTGAGGTGTTATCGAATACAAATCTACTTACACGATACTTTTCAACTACATCCTCATCTTCCAAATCAGACAAGTACCCCCCAACTCCACCATTAGCTTTAAATGTCCAATCAAATGTAAATAGGAAGCAAAACAATGTGGACTAACATTTCCCTTTGTAATCTTCAAAGAAGAATGTATAGGCAATAAGACCATACACATACACAAGAATTACGAAAAGTACCAATGTAAGTCCTAATTATTATTTAGGTTCCCAAACGGATCGAATAACATTCTTCAAAGTTGGATAACGGATTAATATCTCTGTTAAATGAAAACTAAAGAAGAAAGGATGTAATACTGTTCCAATTACAGCCAAGGCACCATAAGCTAAATAATAAACGACTTCTATCTCTTTTAGAATATAAAACAACACTGCTAACAATTTAAATATCTTGTAGATCAATTGTATAGGCCAATAAGTAAACTTATCTTCAAATGGTAATTTGGTTTTCCATGCTTTCTTAATAATTAATGGAGCATTCTTAAACAAAAAGAAAGAAACAACAAATATTGAACAACAAGCCATAATAGTACCGCAAATCAAAAAAATATTTCTAGTTTGTTGGGGTGAATACTATTCATCTCTAAATAATCTAAAATCTGTTATTCTATTCCCTGATTCATTTTGGGCAAATGATCCTATTATAAATAGATTTAATAATAAGGTAAATAAAAATGCCAAATCCTTCCATAATTTCACATAATTGGCAAACAAAGCTAGAAACTTCTATCTTTAGAATATTCGTCTTAATTGTTCCTCATGCTCACATATTTCGGTTAACCTTTCTGATTCTTAAACTAAAAATTAAACCTTTGATTTAGTAGATGATCTATCGACATTTTCATGAAATTCTACCTTCTATTCTTTAGGTAAATTATGAGTATATGGTAAGAGTAGAAAATACACAATTTCTATCTCATTGTTCCTAACAACTTCTATGGATGCACTGTTTTTATAGAAAAAATCAAATGCTCTCCTCTTCATTTTTTCTTTTTCTGCTCTTCTTTCTCTATCTTATTTCTCTTATTGCTCGCTTGTCTAAGCCTAAGTAGCCATCTACTTTTGAGCTTCTTTCTTAATTTGATTCATTAAGTCAATCCAACTGTTAGCGAATGACATCACAAAACTGACTAATTGACCTATTATATTATCTCCGAATAGCAAATCTTCTAAAGTGCCTTTGTCTTGCTTTAATTTCTTTCTAGTATTGGCTCTATACATCTAAACAAATGAATTTTCTACATTCTTCTCAGATTCCATATAATAACTCATTAAGAAATAGATATAAAAGCCTTTTTACAATATTAATTCATAATATTATTCTTCTTTTACTTTATCTTCTTGTTTTGCAGATTCTGGGTCTTCCTTAATTCTATCTAGGACTTCAATCTAATAGCCTTCTTTACATTATTTTTCATATTTATGAAAACAACTTACCATATGTTTTTCTAATAACGGCGGTGTCAAATGTCTCATTATTCTTTTGATAATTGGATTTGAATCTGATATTTCTCTCATTTCAATTAAGGATAGAATCAAAATTAAACATTTGGTTTGCATTCTTTCAATTTACCAAATTTTTAAATCAGATCCCTTCTGTTATTTTTGATATCGACCGGTTTTAGATGTCATCATTTTATTATTTTAAGTTTTTGATGTCTTTATATTTGATATCATTATTTAAGTTTTACCAGTGCTATCCTTCTCTTTTTTTTATCCAAATAAATCTGAGGCTATTTCAAAGAATTTAGAATCAGCAACTGCTATTTAATTTTCAGGACATGGACCTTAAACTAACTCATTTAATGTATCTAGACACAGAACCATATTTTCATATTGTGCTCTATCTTTATAGTAATAAGTTAGTAATAACTCTGCTACTTAGTTGATCATATTAAATGAGTTTCTTGAATTTGTTTATTAACGAATATAATTTTATAGATCTAGATAATGTCCCTCACAACAATTTTATAAGAATTTTAAGACCTGAGTCAATAACAATTCCAAATCTTATTGCTATTTTAATTCTTATACATTATCCTCTTATTATTAAGAAGGTAAATTCCCCAATTATTATTCTTCAGTTTTTTTATCTTTTTCTTTGTTTGTGATTTATTTGATTTATGCCTGAATGACATTGTTTAATCTACTAAAGATGACTTCACTTTTTGGATAAGTCTTCATAAATTCAAATATAGTTTTTTATACTTTATTGTTGCCTCCTGATAGTAAAGTATTTATAAACAATAAGAAATTTCTTAACATTTCTCCATCAAGAATAATTGATTCACTTAAGACTGTTAATACCATTCTAGTAGCTCCTAATTTATTAAATAAGTTTTGCACATCTTCCATTTCGTTGTTTTCTCCTTCAACTTCAACTTTTTCTTTTTATTCTTCCTTAGGTTTTCCTTCAATCACCTTTCTCAAAACACCTAACAAAGTTATAATGGTTTTATTATTTTAACTGCTATTTATGGCATAGCTTAAAAAATTAATAAATTTCTTTAATAGTATTACATATTCAACTTTTAAAATCTTTTCATTCTTGTCGTTTTTGTCACTCGGATTTCCAAAATACTATTCAAATTTAACAATAGCCTCGGATAACTTTTGCAATTCATCCTAGACATAATTTTTACTTTTATCACTTAAGCATAATTGATTAACAAATTCTTCCCAACTCCCTGAGATTTTTTCAATCTCCGCTGACTCAAATTCAATAAGAGGTTCCTCCTTTTATTTTTTATTCGATGAAAGTGCTGACATAATACCTATCTTAGATTTAACATTATTGCTTTAGAAAATTGTTTTCGGGGTATGATGATCCCCATGACTTTATTAAATTCCACTTTGTAAATGAATTACTTATTCGTTCAAATCTGACTAATAATTATCATTAGCTCCAGCCTGAATATTAGACAATACATCTCTGAAACCATTAAATTCCCCAAGATCTTCCATCAGTTTTGATTACCCTGAAACAGACTAACACACTTTTCCCATAATAGTTAATGGAAAATAAGAATAAAAAGCAATTAACACAGAAACATGCTTTTTTCTATTAACATATTTACCAAGATGTAATATTTTAGACGATAATGTCTTAGCAAATGCTTAAAATGCTGCAATATCCTTTTATTCTTAATCATGTCCATCTTCATCTTCATCCTAATGAACTGATATATTTTTTCTAATCAAATAAGTTGTAAATAATGGTATTACAGCTTCAATTAAGAAATCAAAGTATCTCAATTATTAGTGATCAAATTAGATATGTTCCAATCTCTTTATCTCAAAATCTATCATATTTAATAAATCATTCTTGATTTCCTTCAAAAAGTTTTGACTCTTCTCACTAGTGATATGTACGTTCATAAAGAAAATCCATAATTATTTCTTAATTAATCCAAATCCTTATTCCTGCAGAGAAGGATTTCTGCTGCATAAAGAATCTGGTTTACACAATAATTATATCATGTATTGAGCTGAAAATTTCTTTTTCAATTTTGCAACATTTATTGTAAAATTATCCTTCTAATCACCTTCAAGGACTTGAATTTAAGTACATTACAATAATAAATCCAATAACTTTGCATGATAAAGAAATGGTTAATTCATAGGAGGATTAGATGCTAAATCTGTTAGAAAGTCTGATTAATGCAATTAAATATCACCCTCAAAGACGAATTCATTCTTTTCAGTAAACAATAATTCTTCTTTTTCTAAGAAAGTATTCAAAACAAGCAATTAATTATCAAAGATATATTTATTTCCTTATTTTATTATGGTTAGGAAAAAGTCCAAGAATTGTGCTTTTCTTCCACTTTAATAAATCAGCTCGACAAATTTGTGGAACACTCTGTCATTCCTATTTATAGAAGTCAATAGTTTTTGATTGTCTTTATAAATTTCGCAAATTAATGGTATCTATCCTACTTCTAAATGCATGTTTTCAAAATAAGATATGTACTATGATAACACTATCTAATTTTCATGGTTATTCCTGCAAAAATATGTTAAAAATTAAAATGCATATATAAACAATTAAGCCAACCTTTACTTTCTTTAAATATTTTTGATGTTTTCAAGATGGAAATCCAAAGCTGACATTTGATCTCTTATTAAATTTAAAATAGGCAAATGAATCTTTAAAGCATTCATTAAGTTCTATTTCTCAGCATCAATCTCTTAAGTTCCGGAAATGATTTTAGAAGATATTTAAGTATCCTTAAAAAACCCCTATCTAAAATTATCTATTATTTCTAAGGTTTCCTCTAGATCGTCTTATTTTTAGGATTTAATATATTCTGCAAGCCAAACCTCAGATCTATCTACCAATTAATTTCAACCTCTACAAATTTTCACTAAGGAATTCATAGAGTCTACTTTTAATTGGATCACTTACAAGTTACAACTTTAAGAGATTATTACAAAGCTCTTCTCTCTAATTAAATAATCTCATAATAATAGCCAAACATCTCTTTTCTAATTCTTCCTCGTGAATTTAAGAAAAGTTTGTAAATAAATATGGCAAAACTACTCCAATAGGGTTATTTATCTTGCTAATGTCTTCTTAAGGTAAATTTAATGAGAAGTATTAATCCAAATCATAGATCAGCATTTCATTCTAAGTAAAAACTTTGAATTCTTCAGATTCTGGTTTTGTTTCAGCTAATTTATTTAAAAAGTTTAATGCTCCTATACCAAAAGCATCTTGTTTCTCTTCTTTTTCATCCACTTCTTTTAAACCAGTTTTAGCTATATTTGGCATCAATCCCAATAAATTTGATTCTGTCTTCCTCTAAACAAAAATTAATATTTTAGTCTCTTCTTATTCTTAAGATGCGTCATCTTTAGAAAATTTCAATTATTGAATCCCTTCTTGCATTTTTTCAATGATTTACTTCTTGAAAAAAGACAAACAATTCAACATCAGATAATTTTGCCTCATATCTAAGAATCTATCCATTACATCACAGAGAGTCAATTTGATTTTAATCTCTAATTGACTTGATCCAGTTTCTTCTCTTGTTAATAAGGTACTCTGGAGTTCATTCTCTAATTTGATAAACCCTCTCATCAAGGGATTAGTGTACATTTAAACATCATCCACAATACCCTCATCAATTTATTCATCATCGTCTGATTCTGACTTCTATTCTTCATCCGATCCAAACAGATTTAGATTCAACCCTATATTCATTGGATTAGCCATGCTTATAAGATTAGCTCCTAAATTCAAACCAATTCCTAAAGGATTTACTTCTTTTCTTTCTTTTCTTTGAGTGATTTCTGATTTTTATACCTTATATACACTCTTCATCAAAGGCAACTAGGTAAAATCATAAAAAAAATAATGAATAACAATATCAATTATTTATTTATAGTATTAATTTGGTTCCTTATCTAAAAGTAAAAATACATCCAATTCTAATACTAATAACATCATCTAACAAGAATTGTAAAGTAATTCATTAATCAATAAACTCTTTTCATCATTTGCCTCTAACATATCATAATCTTTATTGTTATCTCCACTGTCTTTAGTATCAAGAGCCAATACTATTTATTGTTTATTATCTTGTAAATATTTGAATAGATCTTCAATTAAAGAAGTATACAACCCCATATGTTGAGCTTCATTTGCCTTGTCAATACTTTTAAAAAGATTACAGTATTTAGGCAATTAAACTTTATTGAGTGGATCATGATCAATATAAAGACTCATAGCAATTTTACACAAGGCTGCTTAAAGCACTGCATAAGTTCGATTACCATCCTCTTACCAAATATTCTGAAACAAAAAGTCTTTACTAAAGTATTATTCTAACTCTTATTTCCATAAGTAATTTCTCCCGTAAGATACATCAGCATAAAATTACAATTGCTCATTTATAAAATACATTTCTTTAGGGTCATTCTATAATTTGAATGGGATAACTAATTTGCCATCTTTCAGGGATATCTTATCAGGATCTTCACGATCCTTGATTAATTATATCTTTTTATGATTATGCTTCTTTAGCAATTTGTAAATTGCCTCCTAATTTGAATTGATACCTTAGGAATTGTAAATACACATTTCTCTCAAGAAAGTTAGAAAATCCGCTTTGTGTGCTTGTTCATCTGTTTCTAAAAGATTTAAGAAGAAAATAAGGAAATTATTTTAGATTTTATTATGATGAAGTTACATTTTTTCTTCTTCTGGCTCAAAAAAATCCTACTCCTTAGGAATATAATCAAGTTTCATATTCAATGATAATTGTTAGAGCAGTTCTGGATTGTTTCCAATAATTGAAATCATACATTTGATTGCCTCAGGGATATATCTGCAATGTTCTAAGAAATGCCCAATTAAATCAAAGGTATACAACTCATTTTCAGGGTTTTATTTACAAATCGATGTCAATAATGTATAGATAGTTTGGTTTAATGTGATTTTAAATGCGATATAAGCCAATATTTCATGATCTTTTAAACCTTGTTTTTTATTTGTTTATTCTGTGTTACTCATTTTCTCTTATTACTATTATATATCTTGCATTTAAATAATCATAAATCTTCTACTCCAAATAACTAGGTCTTCAGGTTTTAGCTGTTAAACCAATATTTTGACTAATAAGTCAATATAATATTATTCCTTTAATAACTTTTGTCTAAATGGATTGATTGTCCCATATTTCTACTCAGGTGTTGAGTTATATAATCTATTATTACAAAAATCATTTATATCTTCTATGCATTACTTGGTTGTTTATATTTTTAATAGATGATCTTTAAGTACTTCTTTATCTTAAGCATCATTTTCCCATTTTAATTTTTATAAATCATCAAGATAATTTGTTAGAGTTTTAGCACAACTCAAAACAAAAGAAATTTCCCAAACGTCATTACTACTATACTGGCATACAATTTAAAAACACTTTAATCAGTTTTATGTTATTCTTAATGAAGAATTGGAATGTATCTTTGATATTTTCCATATTGAATATCAACCCAAAAACTATTTTCATCATTCTAATTATTAATAGTACCGGAAGGAATTGGTTTATCATGACATATATAAACATAACTACCTCTCATGACTGACTTTTCTCTAACCTGAGAATTCTTTAATTGACTAAAATAAAATAAGGTTGTTGGAACTCTCTATTTATCTAATGTAAATTTGTCTTAAATCCCAGATAGATACAATCCTGATGTAAAATGTTTGAATCGGTATTTCTTATCAAATACTACAATGCCTCCTTCCTTATATATTTCTGATTCAATAATCCACATCGAAATGTGTATCTCCCTGTGTATTCATCATAACTTTCTTTTGTTGAGCCACTCAATACATTTAATTCCACATTTTCTACTTTTAACCAGTCAACCAAATTAAATGATTGAAAGTTCTTCTAATCTACAGGCTTACCCTTTCTTGTTGCTGCAATTGTTGTATTAGTTTCAGAATGATGTAACCAAATTACATCACCACATTTCAAATATCCAGATGTTTCAGGAACATAATCTGAATAAACTGAAATTCTCCATTAAGTCTAATTTTCTTCATCTAATGCTGCATTTACTTCCCTCTTAATTATATCTTTCTCCATCTTGTATTATAACAGGTCTTCATCACTTTTTTTCTATTTCCTGCTCTTTCCATAATTTCCCATTTCTTAAGATGCATGCAGAAATGTCAATTTATTCATAAAGGATGTTGCTCTTACAATATACACAATATCACTGGCATAAATTACTTACTCACCTTCTTTCTAATATTTGTAAGCTGGCAATATCTTAAATAAGGATGAATCACTAGGTAATTCATCTAAAGTAATTTTATAATTTGAAGATTCTACTCTAGCCTCCTTTTGATGACAAGCTAAAAACTTTGATGATGCCAAATGCAATAGTTAAATATGAGACTTATATGACACCTTATGCGCTTTTGACTATATTATAACAACATAGGTTTTACTTTTTCAAATGTGTCAAGATTATATTTGAACTCTTATAATAATTTCTGGGAAAACATTTAGACCTGCTCTTTCGACAGAATAGTCTTTTCATCAACCTTCTAATGTTTCGAGATGCTTTCTAAAATATTTTGGACTGCTGGTTAAACCTCTTCTTCTTGCTCCTCTCCAATAAGTTCCTTCAAGATTTCTTGCTTTGTGGTGTTTGTAAATTTTGGAAATATTTAAAACAGAGTGTGGTAATATGGCCTGCTTTTCATTTTACCTAATTATTTCACATCTACGACATCTATGTGATGCTTGTATAATTATGCTATATTTGTACAAAGTTCTATAAACAAACAGCACGCTTCACAAAACCATCAGCTGTTATGAAAGAATGATCATCCTATACATGAGATATCGAAATAACTGATCCATAAGTCAAATAGTTTAAATCCTCTTAATTCATGTAATACTTTAATAAAATTATTTCGATTGAAATTAAATGACCTTCATAGTCCTTCTATTCAATTATAAATTTAAATAATCTTTTTTATGAAAATTATAAATACTATACTCATTTCATCTGATTGAAACTTCTTACTTTTTCTTTTATTCAATTATCATAATTAATTATTATACAATATTATTCATATTGATTTCTAGAAACTACTTTTGATAAGAAGATATTGAAAATAGATTTTTCATAAACTTAATAATCAATACTAATTTTAATATTTGGAATTTAGGATCATAATAATTTATAAGGCAATTGACAATAAATTTCATTTCATTTAGAGTATATAATCATTGTAGTTGTTGACGTATTTTGCATTAGATTGAAATTATTAGATCATATCCATTTATGATTAAATGATTTGATCATATGCTAATTATTCTTAATATATCGCAAATCAATAATAAGAATCAAAATAAAAAGAATAGAAAACTTTAAAGAAAAACTACTGTTTATCAAAATTAACAATTTCTACTTTGATTGGAGATAACTAGGAACATGAATTTTAAGATTGTTGCTTCATCATTAAAGAAAATTAAGAATTTATCTATATAATAGTAATATTTGATAGTAGTAATCTTTTTTTGATTTATTATACTATTAATAGAACCATCAAATGATAATCTGAAATATCACTCTGTGGGAGATTGAAATTGTGAGAAGATTATGATTTAATGTAATTTGGAGGAGGAATATTTAAGAAAATGAATTTTGAGTATAAAATGAAGGATTATAAACCAAATTATGAAACCCGTTTTTTAGATAATTAAATTAAATTATGAGAGCAATCATCGCAATTTGCTTATTGTCAGCTGTATTTGCTATAGACACAAATAAATTTGCTGTGCTTCTTCAAGCTGGTACCAGAGGAAATGATGCTGTTGAATCTGTTTACAATCTCTTAAGAGACCTCAAGACAGAGAATGTTTAAGTTTAAGCTGCTGCAGACAAAAAGAATAACACAGACGAAGGTAATAAAATAACATTATCTCTTCTTAGAAATCTTTTCTTAAGTCATTAGTGATTTGACAAATGTTGCCTCCCTCAATAAATAATAATGGGAAGCTCTTGGTGCAGTCAGAGGAGATGTTGAAGCCTAAGTCAGAGTATGATTATTTAATAAATACTAAAAGGATGGATATTAATGGTTGGCATGGGCTGAATCCAGACTTGCTGAAATTGAAAGAAGAAATGCATAACTCTAAGATTAAAGATGTTGGGCCAATGGACTCTTTGTTAAATCACTTGCTGATCATGCTGATGCCATCGGTGTAGTCACCCTCTTGACTCAAGATGTTGCTGGTTTCCTTACAAATAATGCTGGAGTCGAACTTGTTGAGAAAGCCCAAACAATCGCTGACAAATTGTCTGCATACAGCCACCTTTTCTAATAAGATGCCCTCTAGAAATTCCAATCCCTTGCCGAAGTTAAGAGAGAAGGAACCACAGGAGAATAAGTCCTTTCAATCTTATAAGATTTACAAGGTGAATTAGAATCAACCCTTGCCACTTTATAAGAATAAGAAATTCATGCAGCTTTCGCTCTTGCCAAATACGTTTCAGACACAAATGCCGAGGTTGCTTGGTTGAACTCTGAACACGAAAGAAGAACCAATCTTGTTGAAAAATTGGAAACAGTATCAATTCTATCTTATAAATCAAGTAACTCCCAGCTGTTTTGGCCTAATAAGCTAAAGCTCTTAAATTATGGAAAGATTCTTTGAATGCAGTTGCTGGTGCCACAGCTGATCTTGAAGAAAAGAGAGAATTCTATGCTGCTGAAACAGTCAGAAGACAAGGTAATAATACAATCAAATATTTCTAGAGGAAAATGCAATCATCGATGTCGTTATCCAACTTTTCAAAGATTAAGTTAGATCATTGGCTTCATAAACATCCCTAAAAAGACATTGATGGATTATTCATATAAGAATTTACCTTAATCATTCTAAAATTCTATATTCCCTTTATATTTAAATATAACAATTATAATTTGATAATAAAAATTCACTTGATTGATGGGGTTCGGCTTGATATTTTCAACCTTCTGTTTGATTAGCTTCCTCATCACTCTCGAGACATTCATTAAAAGAATATAATAACTAATTATCAGTCTCTTTAATACTAGAAGGATTAAAAGGAGAACAAACTTATAGTTTTTTATACAATAAGACAAATTCTGTAATATCTTAAATTTTGGGATTTTGTTTAAAACCGTCCTAATTTTATTCTTAATTGAGGATTTAACTTTTTCCTTTTTAATGATTTTAATAAAAATGAACGTATAGATCTTAGCTTTTCTCATCCTCCATGATTTTAAAATTTTAATTACCCAATAAAAAGGTCGGACATATGAATTAAGCAAGCTATTATAAATATAGCTAACCTTTTTCCCATACGTCATATAACCCTTTTTTTGTGTAAAATGTATCAAAATCATCTGGATGGATATTAATATTACATTTCTAACATTTAGGTGGTTATGAAGGATCAAAAGTTATAATATGCATCAACTCATCTTTCTTTTCAAACTGACATAATGTACTGAATATAAAATAATATGATGTCGGAGTAATAGTGACTTGGTCTAAATTACGATATTCGAACTTTGAATTTTAATATTAGTTTATCTATGTGTCATTCTCATTCATATTTCTTAACTATATTATTATTCCTTTATTTATAACCTCATCAGGAGGATGCACATCAAATAAATGTAATTCATATTCTTTATTAATTTCCAGGCCATTATCAATTTTTTAAATAGTTTAGGTATTTATTAACAGATTCATCGATTTTGTTTGATTTGAGGAGAAGAAAGGTGAGATTTAATTCTAAACTATAAAAAAGTTACACCTATTAGGATAGATATAAATATCATAGTTATCTGAATCAGATCTTAATTTCAATTTTTAGAGGATCTCCCAAAATAATAATGTAAGTAATAACTCAGCCTGAAATTCCTCATCTAAGAATTCATTATCAAAAAAATCAACATTTCCAGAATAATTCAGATGTTCGAATAAATTCTTCTAGTTAGTGAACTACGGATTAAAAATAATTCTTTAATTTAGGGATGCTATTATTGGATGATCTATCTTCATTTTTGTGACAGAGTCATATTTTATATCAAGTTTAAATGCAGAGGGAAATTGAATTTTTTTCTCCATCAACTTAGTTTTAAATTTCTTGCAATTTAAGGCAAATTTTTCCAATGTCAAAGAGATTAAGGTGTCCAAAGTTACTTATTCTAAAGTAGGATTTAAAGTTATATAAAAGCTGTTGTCCTTTTGTGTGGATTTTTTAAGAAGATTATAAGGAATTAAAGGATCGGCAATTATATTAACACATTTTTTTTACATAAAATAAAAAATAAAAAAATAATCTAATATTTAAAATAATACCTAGACATTTTACAATTTTTTTTTCTTTCTGTCAATTAGAAAGCAAATATGGATCTTTACTTCCAATTTTTTACTTAAATAGAATTTTATTCTATTTCTATTAAATGGAATCGTAAAATTTAACTATTTAATTATAATGTTTTATCTAAAAATCTATATTTGAACCTCAATCTCTGATAAGTTGATTAGGGTAAAGTGATTCAATAATTCCAACGGGAACATTTAATGACTTAGTATTTTTCAAGTTGTCAAAAGAATCCTCCTCGATAAAACAAATCCCCAAAATCTAGAAGTAGGTATCTTAAAGTTAGGGTTTTATGTAATTGTTGTGTAAAAATTGTAAAACATGCCAATAAGAATGAATTTTATTTTGGGTAATCTTGAAATTCTCATCCAGGTTTTAAACCGAAAACTATCGATAGAAAGAAAGAATAGAATTTTGGATAATTCCCTTGGATTTAGAGACCCAAGAGTTTCAATAATATTTATCTAAAAATAATTTAATTTCCAAATGAATGACTTTAGTACATTAGCAAAATATTTAAATTTAAATAGCTATGACAGTAATATACTTAATTCATGTCATATTAAACAAGGAAAATTATTTAATAGAAAGAGAACAGAGGTATATTAAAAGGAATGATAAAATGTTGTTAAACATATTCAAGTTAGCATTATTTAGCACATATTATACTATGAAATCTGTATTAATTTATAAGAAATATTCTTATATTTCAATCAAAAGGAGAGTAATCATACTCAGCCTTGTTATGCATAACTAACTGTTCACCTACAAAATAAAAACTGTCTGATTTAGTTTGAAATGGATTGTCGATCATTTCTTATCTCTAATTAAGGGAATGATTAATTTATATACCATTGCTTCATCAATCTCTGGGATGGTGTAAATGTGTTCCCATGTATTTGTTGAATTTGGAATGCAAAAAAGGAAATTAAAATTCATAACTTCTCAATAAATGATCTCTAAAATAATGTCTTTCAATAATTGTGAAATTCTTGACTGGCTGATTCCCGACTGAGAAGGATCAATTGTGCTCCCACTGTTTTCAATTCAAAAAATTATGGACCAAAGTGGTATTTAATTCTTCTAGCCTCATCCTAATATTCTGGTGGAAGGTTTTCTTATTATGTTTAATTTATTATTTTACCTATGGGCTCCTCATCTTAATCACGCTCAACCTCAAATAGAGTTTAACCTGAATCCATATCTCTGATTCTAAATTTAAGAAATTGGATATTGTAAATGTTTGCATTCACAGGACACAAGAAACTATCATTTACATACTCAAATACTCTTGTGTTATTCCATTTAAACTTCTAACATATTCTGTTGTCACCTACTACATTATTTTTATTTATTAATTTATTATTTATAAATCACAGCTTTGGCATCTCTCTAAGTTATCTTGTTAATGATCTTAATTTATTTTAGTACTCTTCATTGTTTACCGAACTTAATTTGGCACTTTGCAATAACTTTTCATAGGGCTTGGCATCTACTAAATCTGATCTTAAAGCATTGTCATTGAATTTAAATGACTATCGATAAATTATTAATCTTACTTCAACAAGTCCAAGTAAATCTGGTTTTAAAAGAGTGAAGATATGTTCTTTTGCATTTAAGATGATTTCTAATTACTCCCCATTCAAAAATCCTCCTTCGAAATATCCTATTGGCCAATCAATAATTCTTTGTAAACCATACAAGCAACATAAATTGGATAGGACTGATCTAATGTTCTCATCCTAAACTCTAAAATTAATTAATACTTTTACTTTATTAATGTATCTAAGAATGTTTTAAATGTCCAATAATAAGTATGAGCAATGGAAGCTGTCAGTTATTGATACACCTACATGTTTGTTCCATGCTTCTTTGGGTCCATGTTCACCAGCTAATTATTCATAAATTCATAATGATACCTTTTTCCATCATTTTAAGCATCATTTTATTGACATAAAAGGCTGCATGTAATCTCATTAATTTTCTGATGATTTCAGGACATAACAATTATTCAGCTCTTGTGAAAGTAGCTTTTTATGATAAAGTTTATTAAATATTATAGAGATATTCAACATTTTCATTTATTGGTTAGTGTTTTTATGCTTTATTACAAGCTTTTAATAAGTATCTGCCTGTTTATAGTAATAGAACAGTATTTTCTCCTTCATAAGTGCAACTTGGAGCAAATTCTGTTTGAATACTAACAACACCTGAAGATTATAAAAATCCATGTCCACCTAAAGATTGTCTAATTTTATCTAAGCCAAAATGAGTATTCCAAGTATAAACAGCCTTACAACAACATAATAGTGCATGTAAGTCTCCCATTAATGAAAAATCGTTCTTTTCAGTGATTCTTTTTAGATTTTCTGTTAAAATTTCTCTAATTCTTAAACATCCAAAGCCTTAGGCATAACAATCTGCTATCAATGGAATTAATTTATCTTATTGAGTTTAATAATCAATAATAGGTCTTTCAATACCATTTTTATCTTTAAATTATCTTCTAAAATGAGAATACTTAACTCCAATAGCTAATCCTTATGCTAAAGAGACATAGGTATTATGAATGATTGAGGTTCTTACTTACATCATGGTGGCATATCCAATCTTTTCATTTTGTGCCTTAATGAATTCACCAGCTTTGCTTACTTTGGAATACCTCATTAGCATTTATTCTCTAGGAATTCTAACATTGTTCATTCTGAGATAACCATTATCTTTAGTGTTATAACCATATTTTGGTCCTACATCTCCAACTTCAATTCCTTTGAGTGGTAGATGAGTATGTGTGTCTCTGACTTAGACAATAAATGTTTAGACTCCATAATGTTTTCCATTAATGAACAATTAAGCATGAGTCACAGCATGTGTAGCTGTCAATCCCAAGTCTCCAATCCACCATTTGGTAGATGAAATAGTTGGTGAGTTGAGAATGAATTCTTCTGTATTTTTATCATAAACAGCAGTAGTTTCCAAACTTTAGACATCTGAGCCATGACCCAATTCAGTTTGAGCATAGCATCCCACAATCTCATAATTTTAGGAAGGAGGAACCCATTTCTCTATTTACTTTTCAGTTCCCAAATATTTGATTGTGGGTATAAACATGGTTTAATGTAACACAGTCACCACAGTTTCTGGGAATTGACTGTTCACCATACCTGGAATCATCTCATCGCTATAGTTAAGTAATTTGTGTAGTTTATAGGCCTTCTTGCAATAGATTTCAAATAATTTATCTCTGCTTTATCCATAATCTGCTACATTATTTTACAATATTGGATCTTTAGCAATCAACTCTTATACTTTTATCCACCTATCTTATTAACCAGTATTTACTTATGATAATTCTCTTTATATAATAGTTATCCCATGTCGTCTGGGTTAAATGAACACTTTACCAAGTCTTAAGATGATGACATTTCAATAATATTATATTACTTATATTTTTGTTCCTCTTTTTATAATATTAAATTGCAAACGCACTAAAAAATGAAATGACGCTTAATAATTTATTATTATTTATTAAATAGTATTCACAATTTTTATGAATCAACTACTTAGGTTAATTGTTGGCTAGTTTGGGTCCCAAAGTTACTTTCAGATAAATCTTCCTAATATTCTAATTTGCAGCCATTGATCCTTATCTTCGTAAATATCTCAGTAAAGCAATAACACAGAGCATCCAGCAGACCAAGTATGTTGCAGAAAAACTACGATAAGTATTACCATAAAATAGATTATGGATTAAATTGTTGAACTAAGCCAGGCTACAGGATAACTAAAGTAAGATTACAATCACCCAGCAAATGAATAATATTGTTGGATAAAGAAACAATGCAAAAACTTATGTTTTGTTTGTAAAATCTGTTATATGCTTTAATATTCTTCTTACAACTAATGTTATTATTATTAAGTTATATAGAAATGCTACCCAAATCGGCAAATAATAACACAAAGTTATGTACAAATCATAAGATCTCCTCTCCAACCTCATGTTATAAAAGCAATTTGTTGATTCCATCGGATATGTCACTCCATATCCATCAACATAAAATGGTCTATATACAATATTAAACATAAATTTACATAAAACTGATTATTGTTGGAATCACATAACCAACAAATATGTACT